TTCGCCTCCACTCAGATACAGGCTTCATGATACAAGGTGTCATCTTGCTTTGCTTTATTGCCAGCATCCCTGGTGCCCACAGTCATGGGAGGGGCTAGGCCCCTCCCAGGTCTGTTGAGTGAATGAGGAAGGCATGGATAAGGAACCGTACTTTGTGTTCTTCCTATCTGGGGAGCAAAGATGCATGGAAGGCCATTGATGGAGCTGCTGGTGTGGATGCCTGGCGGACACAAGGACAAGACTTCTAAGGACAGGCCAAGGAGGGGCAGTTTGAAAGGGTGTGCAGTCAGGGACATGTTGAGTTTGGGTGACTTGGGGACGTCCTTTGAGAGTGTCTACGGGGTTGGGGATTTAGCTCAGTGGTAGAGCGCTTGCCTAGCGAGTGCAAGGCCCTGGGTTTGATCCTCAGCTCCAAAAAAAAAAAAAAAAAAAAAAAAAAAAAAAAAGAAAAAAGAGAGTGTCTACTTGGGTTTTGGAAATAAAGGGCAGAAGAGGTATTGGGGCTAGAGTAGATGTGACTGTCCACATGGAGGTGTAAAGGAAGAGAAGGGAGGGGAGAGAAAGAGCCATGGGGAGATAGCAAGCCCACCAAGACCAACTTTGGTGAGCACATGTTCATTTAGAGAAGAGATGTTTGTAGGGACCTTTTGAGAGTGAGGGATTAAACAAGAGGGTCATGGGAACTTAAGGACTGGCAGCTTTAAGGTTCAACTTGTAGAATGGAGTGTCTGGGCTGAGATGGCCCAGCTAGTGAAGGCGTTTGCTGTCAGACCTCCTGGTCAGAACCCACATGGTACAAGGACAGAAACACCACCTACGAGTTGTCCTCTGACCTCCATGTGCCCAATGTGGCAAGCCCCCTCCCACCTCTGAAAAGAAATACTTAAAACCAAGAAACGAACAGGGTGTCTGGCCTAAGGTCACAGGGATCCGGGGGTTCCTGGACCCCCACTCGAGTGTGACCATTGCTCTCTTCCTGTTGCCAGCCCCAGCTATTTCTCAACGACGAGGCTCTCCACCTCCAAAGCTAATATTTGTCTCCTCTTGATCTAGCATCGAGTGTGTTACTTTTTAACTGGAGCCCGGGGTTCAAAGGCCTGGCTGTTCAAACACTCAATCTATGGAGATGTCATGTACACCCTCCTTTCCCAACCTCACTGATGAACCAGCAAGGAATGTCTAAGTAAAGAGAGTTTGTAGGAAAGGGCAGAGGGCCAACGAGTGACCGCAGCCCCGCAGTGGGGGTCTGAAGGAGGAAGAGCCCAGGGCAGAGGCCTTCGACCTGAGAGGAGAGCTCAGTGACAGGCACATCCCCAGCTCAGGCTTTCTGAAGTACTTATTAAATACAAGTCAATAGCGAAAATGAATTATCAAGCAGAAACGCTTCTACAAATTCACTGCTGGGGTGCCCCCACCAAACGTTCCCCAGAGTGGAAATTCCCCCTTTCCTTCTCTAGTCCCCTTGACTCATTGCTCTGTCACACAAAGGGGTGTTTACATGATCCCTGTGAGGCCCTGGCTTCATGCTGGAGGCCAGGGTGATGGGAGGGAGGACTACTCTGGGACAATGTCTTTTCACGTTGTGTAGACATTTCATATTTACAATGGATTTGGTGGCTGAAATAGACCCCTTACCCTCAAAACCCTTTTCTACTTAGTTTCCTGGTAACTAAAAGGTGTAACTTTGAATTTTTTAAAATTATGTTTTACTTAAGTATCATCTTTAGTAGTTATTAAAACTACTTCTGTGTCTAGTTAATTGGTCACTTCCATCTTAGCATACATGAGTTCATTGGCTTTTTCCATGGGATGTTTGGTGGAGGAGCTGGCAGCCGGGTAGTAGAGTTGGTAGTTGAGTGGTGGCCTCTTTCCCCAGTTACCCAGATTTCCAGTTCCACTCGGCAAGTTTATTTTCTTATATGTAAATTGGTGCTCACATTACCATTGGGCTGATATGGAGATCTATAAAATGCAACAGAATCTTAAGGGAGTAAAATAAAGACTCCAGAGGCTTCTCGAATGGCTGCAAGGCCACTGTTTGCAGGAGAAACGGTCTCTGCAAGGTTGTCTTCAGACTCCTCTGCATAGATACAGCTATGGTCTTGCCTCTGGCTGGGGGATCTGGACAGAGGTTTGCTGTCATCCTGCATAATCTTCCCCAGACTCAGTCACCCCGCCTTTGCTCGCAGGCTGTACGGTACCCTGTCCCAAAGGACTGTGAAGCTGTGGAGGGAGAGTGCCTGAGTTCCTGAATGACTGTGGAATGGAGCACCTGCTCAAACCTGCAAAGGATTGTGGGAAACAAACCTTTGCCAAGCCATTGGACTTGGGGATTGCTTGCTAGAGTGTTCATCTGCCCCAGTGAACTCATCTCTTCTTACCCAAGCATCTTCCAGGGAGGGTAAAAAGTGAATTACGATCCAGAAATCTGGAGAACAAGCCACACTACCCTCTATGAGGCTTGGGAGCTCCCACTGCAAGGTGAGTCAAGATTTTAACCTGAAGGCCAAGATCACTGTAAGGCTCCCAAACCTACAAGGTGACTGTATATTCTGAAGGTGGTAACTGACCCACTCCATGTGAAATGCGGCTACTATTTATATATTAAATTGACTGTTACCTCCGTTTATGATACTACTATGTGGACTTCTAATCCAAATAATTTTATTTTGAAAACAGGTTCTTGTGGAGCCTACACTTGTGTTGAATTTGACGTGTAGTTGAGAATGACCTTGAACTTTTGCTTCTCCCTGGGATTCCAGGCATGCAATGTCATACTCTTTCACATAGTTATGGGGCCCAAACCTTGGACCTTGTGCCTGCCAGGCAAGCACTCTGCCAACTGAACTACATCCTTAGTCCTGGCTTACCAAGTTTTATTAGGTTAAGGAATCACAGGTATACTAACTAGAAAAAAAATGGTTGGAATAAATTACATGGTTCTGCATGAAATTCTAGATACGTGAGTAATGCTACTATGTAACAGAAATTTCTGAAAGACTTTGAGATGTGAGGGTGGGAACTGGCTTGGAGGAGGCATACACAGAGTGTTCTGGAATATTGTCCAAGTCAGAGCTGGAGAAATGGCTCAGTTGGTAATGTGCTTGCCTTGCAGGCAGGAGGACATGGGTTCCATGCCCAGAAGCTATGAAAACAAAGAGGAAGCAGGCTGGTCTCGGGATGGAAGGCCAGCTGCTCCAGCCTAATTGGGGAGTTCTAGGCCAGTCTTTAAAAAAAAAAAAAAAAAAAAAAGAAAAAAAGAGGGTAGGCATCTTCTGACTTCCACACACACACACTCATAATCACAGTGTGTGCATATAAACACACATAAAGAAATCGCCTAAATGTGTCTTTTATCTCGGATTTGGTTGAAGAGCCTGCTGGAGTGTCCCCAGGGGCTGTTCTAGGCAGCCATCCAAGGTCCCCTCTTACCACACAGGCTTCTCTTCCTGCCCTTGAGTGCTTAGCTTGGTGCTACTATTACTCTGTCACCCGATACCTCAGGGGAACTAATTTGTAAGGTGAGCCCTTTCTTCAGAGAGAACGAAGACTTTCTACCAGTCTCCAAGCCTAGAGCCTACAGAATGGCCTAGAACATTCCACCAACTCCTGCACCACATGCCCGCTCGACAGTTCCAACAGGAGGCCGCCCTGTCAGTTGCCTATCTCCCAGGGCTGAGGCCAGCACACCTGAGGTGGCTGACGGCCTCGGTTGTCTCCAGCAGGGTCTGGGCATCCTCCACCCACCTTATCCCCAGAGCACTCTTCCGGCTCTGGGATTTGCAGCCAGTGGAAAGGCAGCCTGAGCCAGCTTGGGCTTTGAGGGAGAAAAGGAGGGCGGTACATCAGTGGCACGGGGCACAAGCTGGAGAAAAGGTAGCAGCTGGGCAGCCATTCCAGAGGTGCTACAATGGAAGGCGTCGGCTTGAAGCAGCGACGCCTCTCCCCAGCGCTGGGCCCAAGCAGACCGCAGCAGGAGATCAGTCTTCTCAATCTCCTCAGGCCCTTAGTGTGCAACTGGTTCTGGAAGCTACCCGTGGAATCAGCACACACCAGGTCTCAACTCAGGCTTGACCTTCTCCTACCCAGGTCAAATGTCGCAACACAACCCACAACCTCCACCCTCTGGAAAGGTGTGCTGAGAACCAGGCTCGGAGGTGAGTACCAGAGGGAGGGACGAGAGGTGGCGATTGCTTGAGGTGGCTCCTCGGTCAACCCTGGGAACAACTGTGCTCACCGCTAACGTCAGGGGTCCTAAGAGTCTGGAAACGTCAACATCACATGGACCCGACAGCAGGTTAAGGGTTAACCAACCTAGCCACTGCACAGCAGTTGCAATTCTCTCTCTGTATTTACAGGGGTTTTCCCACCTGTACTTGTGTCTCCTCCCAAGCCTGGGTGAGACGACGGGAGTCCTGGGTGCTGGTGACGATGTGGCAGCAAGCTTATGAAACTACAGCAAGGGCTGACGACACTCAGTCCTGCTCGGATGTCACAGGCTGGCAGTCTCTGAGGGGCGGGGGTGAGGACACTGAGAGGGCAGTACCATGAGAAAGGACAAGGCTTCCTCCACCCCGAGTAACAGAGAGACTGAATTTTAATGGGAAACTGACACACGTCTGGATACCCAGAACACCTTTCTGAGAACCACCATGGCTTGGCTGCTAAATGTCGTTCACTCTCCCGACGTCCAGGGCACCCTGGGAAGCAGCCGTGACGTCAGTAGCCTTTGCAGAGATGGAGGAACAGGATCACGAGTGTTGTATAAAGTTGGCAATTCTTACGCTTAATAAAAGACCAAACCCAGCATGTGGATGAGGGCAAATGAACCTCTTATTATGTTTACCTCATGCGTTCAGGGCAGAGTTCATCCCTAAGGTGGGGTTCTTACCAGAGAGTAAGGAGATGCTCACACCTTAAATCTGCAGTCATTCAAACCTTTTGACACAATTAAAATGGTAGATTCTTGAAGAAGCATTAAATCAGACAACCCATAATACTTATGTAGGAAATGTTCCAGCTTTCATAATTCTTTATTAAATATTTGACAAGTTGCATCCCCGCTTTACAACAACTTCACTTTGTCACATTTTCTTTTTTCCCATTTGCTGTCAGGAAAACAAGCTACAGTATCTCTTTATATCTCTCAAGAAGAAAGAAAAGGACTTGACTGTGGAACTTGGCGTGTGTACCAGATTCAAGCTAGGTTCGAGCTTCCCAGACTGGGAAAGCGAGTATCAGCCATTAAGCGGTCTTAGAAAAAACATCAAGGTAGTTTGGTTTTGACCATTGTATCAAATAGCACTCAGCTTTGTTAGGGGTAGGATTAGAATAAAAAGTTAAGAAACACTGAGAACTCATTTGGAATGCTTGAAACTCTTTTTACCTTCAAAGTCACTTTAAAAAAACGTTTTCATTTGATAACAGATCCTGAATTAAGAAATGATAGCAAGCCAATACCTTTCTAGGGTTCTCAGGCGCTGAGAGTCAGAATTCTCAGGACGTGACTTGGAGAAAACTGTAGACGGGACTAAGTTCTCATTCCCTTTTGAATCCAGATTACTCCTAAGGTGTAAAAATGCTATACAAATATATACAAATATATTTGGACAGCATACATACATATATATGTATATATGTTACATCTGGGGTAGCCAGAGGAAGAACAGGGTCACCGAGTCAACATGAAGAACACTGTGACAAGGTACGCAAAAATCAGTCTGAGTATGAGGTGTAGACTGGCTTACACAAGAACAGACATCTGTCAACACAGGCCATGGTCACAGCAAAGGCTGTCAATACACCGAGACACCGTGGAGGGAATGCAGTACATCAGAGGTCACGCTCCAACAGATGCCCTTAGATTTCTACTGCCGCTCCTTACAAATACAAAGCCAGTAAAGAGACATGTTGCTTCAAACACGTACTTGGAGCGTTAACATTTCAAATAAAAGATAGATGCTGAATGAGAAGTTTTCTTGGAAAATTTCCTACCAAACAGAAAGCTACCCCTTTTCCTAGAGAACCCTAGACAGGCTCATGTCCTAACGCTACAGCTTTTTCTCTGACACACTGAAAACACTCTGGGATGGAGTGCATACACAGACGTATATACACTGTTCATTAAGGCTTATAGAAATTAAAAAAGTGGTCCAATGTATATCACATTTCTACCCAGTTTTAAAATCTAAGGTACAAAGTGGAGTTTTTTTTTTTTTTAAACATATCCTAGTCTTGAAATTGGCAGTTTTGACATGACTTAGGATATACCCCAATGCATGAAGGAAACAGAGGTAGCATGTGGTCTTCTGGGAGCCAGACAGGGAGAAAGGCAGGCAGTGACCCTGCACAGTAGCACCCCTACTGGCCAGGAAGTGAACGACAACAGATAGCATCTCCCTTCTGTTACTGAGATGAGTAGAGAGTTGCAGACAGAAAAACAGCTAATCCTGGGGGGATGAGCCGGGCAGCAGATGGACCCAGGCTTTCTTTGTAGACTTCCAAATTTCAGAGGTGAGATGCGAGACTCTCAGGAAAATAGAGAACACATTAGAAGCTGCTGTATTTGAGCCTGGCTCTCAGAACAAACTGGAATCTGGTGAGACCAAGAGCAACAGATCATGTGAGATGTACATACAAGTGGTTACATTTTTTTTGCAACCCACTTCCATGAGTCTGCCGCTGAGCCTTTATGGGGGAAAAGATGTGTGTCAAGGTCAAGTCGCTTTGTATCATTTTTGCCCTGAATGTCAGGATTCTCTGCGGTCTCCTGCTTAAGGTCCTCAGAAACAGAATTTTTTATCTTATCCACACCCCTCCCCGCCCCCAGCAATGGGGATCAAATCTACGGCTAAGTACATGCTAGGCAAACACTCTGCCACTAAGCTCCATCGGCCCTGGAAACAAGAATAAAGTACGCATCTCTGGTTCTTGTGATCTGCCAGAGGACCGGCCACAGAAAAGTAGAGACTGGTGTTACAGACAGACGAGGATAGCACACTGAAGACACCGAGGATAGACCAACGCCTACCACCTGTTCTGGAGTCAGCAGGCCAATCCAGGCTTACCATGGACTAAAAGGAGCAGGGAGAGAAACACAAGACAGCCACCTGATGCTCAAAGTCCTTCCACAGGGAAGCGGAATCCTGGAAGCCCCTCTGCAGCCTCAAGGTGAATGATCCACAACTACTGTCTGCAGCAGTGGGGCCCGAAGAATGACCCGCCTCTTGTCCCCCAGGGACGGCATACTTTCCATTGCCATGTACAATTATCGTACAAAGATGACCAGGCCTGGGCATCAAGATCTGGGGACAAGACATCAGGCATTTCAGGTAACAAGTAATACTTCACAAACCGAATCAACAGGGAACCGTATTTTTACTTTCTAACAGGCCGATGCTCCAGTTCAGTAACAACCGCTGAAATCTGAATTACGGACCAGTAAACTGGTGCTACATTGACTGGCCTTTCAAGGACTCTCAGGAGTGTATTTCAACAGGCCTTTCCTGCTCTTGGCTTAGCAAGGATCGGAATTAAGTCTTTTTTTTTTTTTTTCATATTTTTAATGAAAAAAATCATGTCTGGGTCAGGTCAAAGGACAACTTGCAGACATCAGTTCTCTCCTTCCATCAGGTGGGTCCCAGGGATTGAACTCAGGTTGTCAGGCTTGGTGACAAGCACCCCGACTCACTGAGCCATCTTGCTGGCCCTTTTTGCATTTTTAAAGGACTTGACTACTTTGTACTTAGTGAATAACGTGGTTCCATCTAGAGCCTACAGAATTACAGAACCCCAGTTATTAGAACAGATTTTGGTTTCTTCTTCAATCAAAAAACACTGCTCAGCTCAGGCTTTGGCACACTTTGTAACAGAGAGATAGTTCTGGACATGGCAGGTTATTAAAAAAAGACACCCCTCCCCACCCCCAATATCTGTTAACTACAGGAGAAAAAACAATCTCACCAGAAGGCAAGGATAGAATAGAGTGTTAACTGTTTTTGTAATTACTCGATAGCATATGGAAAGAAGCCAAAGCTCAGCCTGGTGGGATTCGACCCTCTGGGGCTTCACCAACCAAGGATGCCCATGGCTCCTTCGTGGCACCCACAGCTGCGTAAACACGAGCAATTTCTTATACTGAAGGCCCTTCCTTATGTAGCAGAGACCACACTCTTTTTGTCATTTCACAACTGGCAAGAGATCAAAACACCCTGTGTCCCCTAACTTCCGGGGGGTGGGGTGGGTGTCTAGGACAACACAAGTCACAGGGACAGCAGGGGTGCTCAACTCCCACACTGCCTCAGGCATCTTCTCAGAACACAACAGAATTCTGCAACGGAGACTTACAAACTGCAGACACCCACATTCTTTCACCCTTGCCAACCAGGCAGCTCGAGCTCAGTGGATCCCACTGGGTCTTCTAACTCACTTTTAAACTAGCACACAATAGACATGACTTGGTGTGGGGGGGCAGTACACAGTATCGAAGCATGCAAAATAGGTCATTATGCCACACAACTTGGCTAAGTGCAGAGTAAGTAAATCCTTGTGGTCGAGTAGAAATCACAAAATGGCTGGAGAAGACCGGTGTGGAGGCTCACTCAGCATTACAACTGTGTTCACGAGGAGCCTAACTCACACAATTGATAAGATACCGCACCAGACGGATGTGTGCAGGAAGAAAGAAACAATCACATGGTTTATGAGGAAAAAACAAAAAAAAACAAAAAACCAACAACCAGATAAAACCTGCATAAAGTGCCTTTGGAATTGCCAGAGTTACAGCAAGAATGGGTTATTAGCTACTGTTTAGCCCAAGGAGACAGAACACCACTGACTCTGGCTTCCTCAGTTTTGAATCAAGCAATGCCATTGGCAATGTCTCCACAAACACCAAAGCGAAAAACAGCGTCAGAAGAGGCTGTGCGGCCACAGGAAAGGTGAAGGGCTTCCGATGCGAAAGGACAGTCCAACCCTGTCTTCAATGTGTGATGGCACACGGCGACACTTCTAAGAGACAGTGGTGTCATCCCTTTCAAGTTAACGCAAAGATATCATGCTATGTTACAATTCTTCCAGTCTGTACCTGGTATCTAAATTTGTACAAAAAAAGGGTAATATCCAGTTTATTTTCATTCTGAGCGTGGAAAAAAAATTGTTATGCTTAAGGTTCTATTTGAAATTCTTTCCAAGCATTGGTCTGTGTAGAAGGCTTCTGGAGAAAATGAGTTTTCCAATGCTAATAAAGTAGAGAGTGAGAGTGTCCAAGTACTTCAAAAATAAAAATGTCACTGACATTAAGCTTGATATGAAATTCAAATACAAAAAAAAAATATGCTCACTTTTCCAAGTACATGAGACATCTTTAATTGTAATGAAATAAAATCTGAAAATCGGTCTAAATCATTTTAAAAAGTAAACATGAGTTGTAATACTATACCTGTAGCGTGATTAATTCCATTCATTGTCATTAGAAAGTCTGCAAAATATTTATTAAGGGCTTTGCCTGCAGAGGCACAACATAAATAGAACACTGAAATGTGATCAGTGTACACGTCAACCAGTTGAGAATCGGTGGTGACAGGGGGTGGTACTTGAGCTGGGGCTGCGTGCCCTGGCGGAACTTGGGCACGGGCCTGGACAAGCTGGGCTCCAGAGCCAGGCCAGGCAACTGCTTCTGCCACCGGCTCTGCAAAAGTCTGCCAGGCAAATGCAAAAAGTGCACGCAGAACTTGCTGGAAGGGCAGCGTCCCCGGCGCCGGAGGCCTTAATCCACCCCTTCAAAGCCTTGAGCGTTCTCCACAGCCATGAGAAGTTTCTCCCGCAAATCTTCAAAGGTTTCGTATGGAGGTAAATCAAGGCGATTAAAGCTGCCAAAGGAATGGAGAGCGGTGGTGAGTGGCCGCCATTCCTCCTTGGCTCATGGGCACTGGCTATGTGAGCGAGGGAATTATTCAAAAGAAAAAGCCACACTTTTATTACCCAAGGCCAAATTCTAGTTAGGAAAGTGTCTATGCCAAACAGGTCATACAATCAATGGGGAAAAGAAAACAGTCTTTCAACTGTCCCTGACCCCTCTGCTGCTGGGAGGGAGACACAAAGGTAAGACAGGTACCAACCTCCACAGAGAGACTAACCATGGGGGCTGGCGAGATGGCTCAGCAAGTACAGGTGCTTGCAGGCAAGCCGGGCGACTTGAGTTCAATGCCCAGATGCCACATAAAGGCGGAAGGAGAGAGCTGACTGCACCAGCTGTCTTCTGGCCACACTGGTAGCATGTACGCCCCACCCTACACATGCACGCACACGTTATAAAAAAGGAACCTTTTTTAAAAGAAAAGAAAACCCACAGAGCATAAGGCATGCACACTTCAGGAATGAAGGATGGACAAACTGCTTCCTCACACTATCACTGGTCCATCGTGCCTGAGCCACGTGCTCGAGCCACGTGCTCTTCTGTAGGTGTGAAGCAGGTTAAGGTTATGTGTTCTACACATGCAGATTCCTCAGCTAGGAGGTGAAGCCCGAGAACCACGGGTCCCACTCCCAGGAATGTTGCAGGCTCCAGAGCAGAGTCCAGGCTGCCTGAGCTCCAGAACACTGAGCCACCTCTGCTATCCAGTTTGACCACCAGTGAGGTTCAGAGAGTGAGCTACATTCCTTACAAAAGCCCTGTCAGCTAGGAAGGCTTCAGCCGGGGTGGGGCAGGTATGGCTCACCCTTCGAGAAGGAGGTCTTTGGATAGAGATGGATGGCCTCTGCAAGAAATCAAGCCCGCTTGTTCACAGGCCAAGTTCAAACCCTGTCCCTACCATCTGTGGGACACTGGCCAAGTCATCTCAGCTCTCTGAATCTGTCTGCTCAAATGTAAAAAGGAGAACCTGTTCACAGGAGGATGGGGGGGGCGGGTCAGATGAGAATATACACAGAAGGGGCTGGGAGCATGTGCTCAAAAGATGGCGTCTAAGACCAACTCGCCCAACGTTTACTGAGTATTTGCTCTGCCCTACCCTGTTCAAGAGCGTTTAAAAGGGGCTGTTAGCCCCTGTCAGGAAGCTGTTTGAACTCTGCAGACATCCTCCCTAGGATAAAGGCTGAGAACTGTGGACGGTGCCCGCTCTGGATGGCCGATTTCGGTCTGAAATCAGCGTGCATGTCAGCAAGGACCACACAGGCCGTGGCCATGCCGGTCCACGCGGAGGGAAGGGCACCACCGGCAGCAGCCAGCTCCTCCACTGCCAGTTTGCACAGAGGCTCTCAGGGGTGCTGTGGGTGAGAACGGGGTGTTCACGTCAGCTCAGCACGGTCTCGGTCGGCACAGGCTTTGGACCCTCGCTGTGCTGAGAAAGGCAGGACCACACTTCCCGACTTCCTCGCCTGTGTAGAAACCTAGGTGGGACCCCAGCTGAGTTTGGACTAAAGGGAGCTTGCTGAATGCTGCTGTAAAACCCACTGGGCCCTGTCTGTCTCTGGGCTGGGGGGTTATGTGACTCTTCTAAGCCAATTCCTGAGGTTTCTTCCCCTGTCTCCAGCCAGAGAAGACCTTCTGGAGGTGTCAGCCCCGCCATGGGGTCGCCATGGGGACTGTGTGAATAGGCTTTTTAAATTGATGCTGCTATGGGGGAATTTTGTCCGTAATTATTTGAAACGTTATTTATTGTGCGCATGTGTGTGTACCACAGCACACATGTGGAGGACAGAAGACAATCTGCACAATTTGGTTCTCTCCACCACATGGGTCCCAGCGACCCAGCTGAGGTCGTCAGGCTTAGGTTCACTGATTTTGATGTGTCTCAGTGTTCTGAATAGATGCACGTGCGCCCCATGCGAACCTAGTGCCTACGAACATCAAATCTCCTGAGACTGGAGTTACAGACGGTTGTGAGCCGCCACCACGTGGGGACTGGGAATCAAGCTCAAGTCCTCTTCAAAGGGGAACAGGTGCCCTTCACCACTGAGCCATTTCTTCAGGCCCCACGGGGAATGTTGTTACTTACCATGTGTGAGCTCTGGGCAGTTTTTCAGGACTACCCCATTGCTCTATTGTAAACAGCTGAGGACCATTGGAACCTGGGCAAAAAAAAAAAAAGAGAACAGACACATCAGCAGGGCTTGAAGCAGGAGAACAAAGCTGTGGTGGGACTTAGTTAAAGGGGAGGGAGGAATATTGGGGGGGGGGGGGTGTCTGCCCAGGTCTGCACTGCTCAGGGGTTGGCCTCGCTAGCTCCCCTACAGTGCTGAAGTGGGCCAGGCTCAGCACAGGTGCCGGTGCCGAGGCCTCTCCACTTCAGGGGAAAGTAAATGCACCGTGAGCTCTGATGCCCAGAGCAGAAAGAGTCCTGGGGTCTGCGGGCGGGGGCCCTTCTTCCGGGGACCAGTTTCAACCATATGGATGATTCTGACAATCTGGTTTTCAAAGCTGAACGGAAAACCTGAACTATGGAGGGAAAAAAAAAAAAAAGGAAAAAAAAATGGAGAAAGTTTCAGGCTCTCCATACAAACACCGCCTCAATCTGTGCCTCTGTTCTGCGTCTCCACGGGTCGCGGCGGAACTAATACAGTTAAACTGGTCTGGAAAAAGGGGCCAAGGTGGCAGGCAGGCAGGACGCTGCCTGCTTGGATTCTCACAGGACAGAGGAGTCTGGGGCTTGCCACACTCACCATAAAGTTCGGCAAATCCATTCATGGGTACTCGGGAGGTGCCTGTGACAAACTGTAGTAGCCGGATCCGCTTTTCAGCATCCATCAGGAGTACAGCCTGCCGGAGGCAGAAGGTCATGACGTCACCGCGCCGCACACACGGCTGTGACGCAGGCAGGCAACTAACTTCTCATTTATGCTGCCCCAGAGGCACCTGCACTGTTGACTCTGAAAACCGGCACCGCCTCCCCTTTATAGATGGCTGTTACGATCCCACCCTCTCTAATCTTATCCAGAGCATCGCTGGGTCCCGTTTTTTTGCTTTTGCCAATGGGCTAAAATAAATGATATAAAAAGAAAACTCTTTGATGGCCTCAAGCTCAGGTTTCTGGGTTTGAGGCCTGTCGTCTCCCTGAAGCCAATTCTAACCAGGCAGTGTTCCCGAAGTATCTAAAACAAAGGGAAGCCAGGTGACGAGATGTGGCCACAGAGGTTCCCTAAGGACACTTTACAAACAGAAGGAAACCCAGGCAAGGATGGGCCTCGGAACCAATCTGTGAGGCTCCTCACCACCTCCCAGATCCCAACTGCTGCAGGAACCGAACCGGCATTCCTAGGCATGAGATTTGATTTTCTATAAAACAACCCCAAATCAAAGCCAAGTTCTGGTCTTTGACAATTCTGGTTCTCTCTCTCTCTGTACTTTTACTGGTACTTGAAACATTAGAAACAGACATTCAGAAGTTAAAACACATTAGTTGATTTCTTCTCATTTTTTTTTTTTTTTGTTTTGTTTTTTCGAGACAGGGTTTCTCTGTGTAGCTTTGCACCTTTCCTGGATCTCACACTGTAGACCAGGCTGGCCTCGAACTCACAGAGATCTGCCTGCCTCTGCCTCCTGAGTGCTGGGATTAAAGGCGTGCGCCACCACCGCCCGGCCATTTTTTTTTTTTTGAAGTCAGCATCTGCCAGTTTTAGTGGCAAACACCTTTATTTCGAGCACTTTGGAGGCAGAGGCAGGTGAATCTGTTTTGAGGCTAGCCAGGACTACATAATGAGACCCTGTTTTAAAAAAAAGATTGTCTGGTAAGTAGTTCAGGCTGTCCCAGAACTTGCTGCGTGTCCCAGGCCAGCCTCAAGCTTCCAATTCTCCTGTCTCAGCCTTCCAAGTGCTGGGCTTATGAGTGAGACCTGGGAGTTGAGGTGTATGCTACCATGCAGGGCCGACTTTCTTTTTTTGTGTGTGTAAATAATCTTTTAATTTTTTTTATGTTTAGTTTACTGTCTTTGACAAACCATTCCTGAGCCCAACAGAACCCAAACATTGGCCCTTAAGATAGTAAATCAAATTTAATTTGCATCTTGGGTTGCAAGATATAAAAATCAAAATGTTATTGGAATAAAAAAAATGCTGAAGCTGGGTGGTGGTGGTGCATGCCTTTAATCCCAGCACTCAGGAGGCAGATTGAACTCTGTGAGTTCGGGGCCAGCCTGGTTCTATAGAGCAATTTCCAGGACAGCCAGGACTACACAGAGAAATTCTGTTTTGAAAAACCAACACCCCCCCACCCCCAAAAAACCAAAAACCAAACAAAAAAGTTGAGAAAATGACTTTTACACATTCATGAACCAGCCTGAAGGCATGCCTATTCCCAAAGATGCTCCTGCTCTGATTTCCCCCAAGAGGCCTGACAGGGAGATGAGGACTTCTCTGGTTTGGAGGAAGAGCCTGAAGCAGAGGTTGGGCCTAGAGAGCTGCGGTTACCTTCCAGAACCACTGGATGACGGGATGATTGGGGCAGTAGCCATTCTTGTAAATAGAATGCTGTCTCCAGTCATTCACGTCGACATCACCAAGGCCACACATCAGCAACTGGTAAGGAAATGGGTCAGATGTAAACGAGGTGGGCTATGCAAGTTGAGAACTCTCTCTTCTCTGCTGGCGTTTGTCACTGGACAAGCAGGTAAGTCAGCAGTTCAGGAGAGCCAAACAAAGCAGATGCATGGGCTGAACTTCCCCTGACACTCACACCAGAGCTGGCAGAGGAAGGGGGGGCGTGGTTTCTTAACTGACTTGCATGCAAGACTGTGACATTTTATACTGGAGACCATGGGTCATCTTTCCAGCCTGCATGCTTTGGGCACAGTGCTGCCGAGTTCCTTGTACTGCATTAGCAGATGCACAGGATCCTGGCTGTTACTTGTTCAGATATCTGAACTAGTCCCCATGACAGCAAGAACTCATCTCCCCCAGATGGGTCAATCCAGGTGACAACACACGACCTCCTCATCCTTCCAGCGTCCTGTGGGCACCCAGGCAGGAACTGGTGCCCTGAATCAGTACTTAGCCTAAAGTCTGCTCGTATCCATAGGAGTTTCCAATGAATATGATATTCCCACGGGAGAACTAAAATACAGCAGGAAGAAAACCATTCCCAAAGCCTGAAAGCTGATTCCTTGGCCTCCCTGGCACCAGCCTGGCTGAGTCATCTGGGGAGGTGGCTCACTTCTCACAGCCGCTTGTAGTGCGTGCAATACAGAATTCCCATGACACTCATCTCGAAACTCCCCCTTTAAACTCTCTGAGGCATGCTTTGTTGGACATGGGCTTGGAGAGAACAGCTGTGGACAGATGCAACCTCCTTCCTTCTGTGCTTCGACACAACCCAAGGTGGGACAGGTTTTTGGTTTTCAAGCTGCTCTCTCCCTCATCTACACCGAAGCTGAGAAGCACACTTTCTGCTACCACCTGGGGGCCTCCTGATGGTCCTTATTCAACACAAGCCACTTCAAGGTCAAGGTCACGTCTCCTTTACAGACTCTGGAGAAGGTGTACGGCTATAGTGTGACCAAGTCCTTCAACCACATGCCAAGGTGGAGACTGGGAGGCAACAAAGGGACTGGGCTGGCCTGGTTGTGCCAGCAGACCACTGTCCTAGAGCGCTGGAGTGGACCAGGCTCCTCCACAGACATTGCAGACTTCTTTGCCTGAGCACTGGGTTATGCACCCAGCGCAGCTCCCTAGAAATGCTCACAACTGCCCTGTCACAGGCAACGAATCGCTTTGACTACTACTGCTAGCTTCCCCAGATTAGAAGACAGGCCTCGTAACAGAGCATTCAATATGTCAGAGAAAATAAAAAACGCCATCTGCAAAGTAAGGAAATAAAATATATCGATAACACAAACCTCCAGCTCATTTTCATCGAAAATTTTAATCAAATCGATTGGAAGAAGTTCTGTAAATCCCTGAAAGGAAAAGATAAAAACATCTTAAACATCTTTTTTTTTTTCTTCAAAAAAGAACAATTTCAAGGGTTGAATAAGCTTGTGGTCGGCCAGAGGAGGCTCACTCTGTACTGCGGGCTCATGCGGCAGTGACAGTGACAGTGTCAGGTGACCACAATTCCAATAACAGCAAGTCATGTACAGGAGCTCGAAAATGCGTACAGTCTAGAAGCTTCCGGCACTTCACCCTTTTTGAAACCCTGTGATACTAGGGATACTGTAGGCAGGTGGACTGCAAAAGCAATTTATGACACACTTTTGTGAGTCAGTGTGTCCTAAAATGCACAGACCACAAACGTGGAAGAGACTCATTTAAAAATAGCTGTCGTCATGGGTGGAGGAGGAGGAGGCAGCATAAGCTAGCACAGAGAACAGACCGAACAGCAGCCAGGCTCTGTCCTGGGCTGTCATTAATTAGGGGGTGACCCAGGAAGAGATTCTAGATGCTATGGTTCCTGAGGGCCGGGCGGGGCTTGTTGTAGAATATTACTTTAAGATGTGTTACATTTATTTAGGCTGTGGAACATTTGTTTTAATGATGCAAAGATGGGTTGCATTCTTTTATGTTTAACTCTGTGAAGCTGTGTTACTGTGCCTGTCTAAAACACCTGGTAGTCTACTAAAGAACTGAACGGCCAATAGCAAGGCAGGAGAAAGGATAGGCAGGGCTGGCAGGCAGAGAGAAGAAATAGAAGGAGAGAGAGAAGAAGGAATGAGAAAGGACACCAGGGGCCAGCCACAGAGTGAAGAGTGAAAGTAAGAGTACGATATACAGAATAAGAAAAGGAAAAAGCCCAGAGGCAAAAGGAAGACGGGTTAATCTAAGCTAAGGAAAGCTGGCTGGAAATAAGCCAAGCTAACTATGGGCATTCCTAAGAATTAATAAGTCTCTGTATGTGTTTATTTGGGAGCTGGGTGGTGGGCCTCCAAAAAAGCAAAGAGCCAAAAGAGTAATAAAACAGTCGACGACAGGGGCTGGGCACATCTGTTTCCCGGGACGTCCTCCTTAAATACAGTGCAATAGGTACCACAGTCACGGTCACCCTCACATCTTATGTTCCCAGGCCCTGGCATATATGCACTTCCTGCTGGGAGGGTGGGGCGCTATCTTTATGGTGTGCAGGCCACTGAGCTAAAGAGAACCGTTCCATGAGAGAGGTTCCTGGAAATGACTACCACGGGATTTGGGCTTTTTCCTTCAAAATGTATTTATTGTGTGCATGCATGGATGGGGGTCAGAGGACACCCCGCAAGAGCTGGCCTCTGTCCTTCTAGCAGTGACACTGGGGGGTCTCAACTCCGGTGGTCAGACTTGGAGGCAACAATCATCTTTACGTGCTGAGCCACCTCACCAGACCCTCTCGTTGCTTTTAAGTAACTAATATTATCATTATTAAAAAGAAATTTCACATTTTGCCAACATGAAATACTTTATGGTTAAAAAGGAAAAAAAAAAAAAAAAGGGCTGGGAAATGTCCTCTGTGGTAGACTATTCATGAGAGAGGTAGTGGCTTCATTCCATCGCAGGGAGAAAAGTGGTATTTGGATATCACAGAAAAACACAGAGCATGAAAAGGGGAGTGTTGTAGCAGAAAACCCCAACATCTTGGTGTACCAACATGGCCCTCGAATTACCACAGCGCCAGAAAAAGCTATTAAAAAAAAAAAAAAAAAGAGGATACGGCTCCTTTAAGAGTTTCTGTCTGCTGGCAAGCCCTTGAACAGCCAGTATGTTAAGTAGGAACAAAAAAACTAATTAAAGATGCTGCCACAGTGCAAGCATCAGCATTCCAGAACTCCAGGAAGGTTGAATGCAGGTCCTGGTCAGACAAACCTCTAACCTGCCACAAGTTTCACACTTGGTTTTCACGACCCTAGAAGTGGGCAGACCCAACTGAGAGCCACATTTGGAGGATCCAGGTGTAGGTTAGCAGCTTAAAGGTTTGTCCATACGGTCAAAAAAGACTGAAGATATGCAATAAAAGAGGTCCAGACGGAAAATACCTCTGAACAGGTTACAGTGTGTTTAACAATGTGAGTAGGCTTAAGAAAATAAAAAGGGTACAGTCACAGAAAGAAATGGATAGTTTAAAAATAATAATAAAGTCTTTAAAGAGAGAGTAAAAGTAATATAAAAGGAAAAAGCCACGTAAAATGGGAAATACACAGGGAGTCTGGATCCTGTATGTTATTGTGTTGATTTTGAATTTTTTTTTTTGATTGTTGTTGAGCTAACGACAGCTGCTGACAGACAAGGGATTGTGAGCAGGACTGCAGAATTGAACCAACCTAGATACTTTAGGGCTATATTAACTTTAAAAACAAGTAAAAAAAAAATGTGTCAAATGGAAATCAAAAGTGCTTTGGAATTTTGTTCCCACAGGAGAGGAGAGGCTGTGGATTCTTTCAGGATAATATGGATCAGGTGTCATCAAGGGAGACCTCCTGAAACTTGTCAGGTGATATCTATCAGCAAAGGTTACTGCTGGTCTACCCAGGACTTGATCATTATCTAAAATTTTCTCAGGGATCCCTGGGGATGCCTTCATCCAGACAGCAGGAAGCAGTATGGAGAAAACAGCATCCACATTCCCAAGTGGAGTGTGGGAGGTTTTTGGTTATTTGGTGGGTTATGGATATTTATTATAATTTGTGGAAATATAGGAATGATAAGATAAAAAGGTAGATTACTGAATCTACTTTAAACCAAAAAACAACTATTAATTTCAAATATTTTGTATTGGTATGTACTTTTGTATACTGATACAAATTTAAGGTCATTTTTGTTATAACATAATGTACATATGTTTCTACTCTTGTTTAAAGGATTTTTGTATACTGATACAAATTTAAGGTTATTTTTGTTACAACATATTGTATTATGTTTCTATTCTTGTTTAAGGTATTGTACCTATGCAGTTCATTTAAAAATGTAAGGTAAATTCCTAGTTTTTGAAAGCTATTATTATAAACTATATAGGATAATCAAGGAACTTAGGTCAGTAGTCAGTCATATATAACAGTCAATTTTTTAGATATGTTAGGTATGTTTTCTAGGTTAAATAGATATATTATAGATAGATGGTCTTCAAATGCTTCAAAGACCTATAGAATATGGCATTTAAAATGTTTTGTTAACTTAAAAGTTTTTCATGATAATGAGACATCTGCTCCTGGCAGCACCAATTTACTTCAGAGAAGATGATGAGCACTGAATAAACTCCTTACAGAGCTTGCTTTCATTGTGGCAAGGTTAGCCACTGGGCAAAGAAACTGTTCTTGCCTTTGACTGCTGACAATGTGCTGTGTAGACTGGACATGCAGGATCCACAGGAGAAAGGCTGCTGAATTTTGCCAAAACAAGGCAGGACAGTCCTTCAAAGTTCCCGCTTCACTGGAAAGTTTGCCAGATACTCTAGGCTTGTAGGCTGAAGATGGATGCCCCAAGATTGCAGAGGAACTTCGGATGACTGTCTTAGGTAGCCAAATGTCTCTGTTGTTAAAGAATATTATATCTTTCTGGGTCTTTGATGGAGTTAAAGGCTAAATAATTAGAGTTTCAGTTTTTCTTAGTTATGATAGAAAGTAAGTTAGGTGTAAAATTTTGGATTCACTAAGATAGGATAGATAATGCATTATTTTCTTTGAATATGCTAACTATAAATGGTCAGAATATTGTAAATGTAGTTCCTACTTGATAATTGTTTTTGTTGTATGTAGTTTCACTATGTTAAAGTTAAAAACTTTATTTTTATTTAGACAAAAAGGAGGAAATGTAAAATATTTTAAGCTGTGTTACTTTTGTTTACGTTGCATTTGTTTAACTCTGTGAAGCTGTGTTTACTTTGTCTAAAACACTTAATGGTTTAATAAAGAGCTGAACGGCCAATAGCTAGGCAGGAGAAAGGATAGGTAGGGCTGGCAGGCAGAGAGTATAAGTAGAAGAAGAAATCTAGGAGGAAAAAAGGAGAAGCAGCCAGAGAAGGAGGAGGACTTCAGGGGCCAGTCACTCAGTTACACAGCAAGCCAGAGAGTAAGAAAGAAAAACAGAGAAAGGTAAAATCCCAGAGGCAAAAGATAGACAGGATAATATAAAATTAGGTAAAGCTGGCTAGCAACAAGCCAAGCTAAGGCCAGGCATTCATAATGAAGAATAAGCCTCCCTGTGTGAGCTGGGTGGTGGGCCCCCAAAAAGCCAAAACAACCAACAACAGGAGACTCTGATGGAAGCTTAGTGTCACAAAGGGAAAGGCAGCGTGCCTGGGTTGGGTAAGGTCTGAATGAGAGGGCACTATTTTTGGAAGCACAGTAGCAGGCAGCTCTCTGGGTACTGCTAGAACTTCAAGGTAATGGTTCCAGACCAGGTATGAAAAAAGTTCTGTTTAAACATAGCGGAAGGTCTAGTGAGATGGCACAGCCAGTGAATGTGCTGCTGGCCATCCCGCCTGAGGACCCGAGTTCCATCCCTGGGACCCACATGGTGGACAGAGACATCCAGTAAACGTGCTGCTGGCCATCCCGCCTGAGGACCCGAGTTCCATCCCTGGGACCCACATGGTGACAGAGACATCCAGTAAACGTGCTGCTGGCCATCCCGCCTGAGGACCCGAGTTCCATCCCTGGGACCCACATGGTGACAGAGACATCCACCTCCTTCAGAGTTGTCCTCTAATCCTCACATGTGTGTGCACAATACAAATCAATCCATTCGAAACAAACAAACAAAAAATATAGGTGGAAGCCAGGCGGTATCATCCTAGTACCCAGGAGGCTGAGGCAGGATGGCCGTCAGTTCCAGGCGTCTCAAGCAAGCAAGCAACAATGCAGTCAAATCAGATTTAAAAACGGAGAAAGGCAAAGCAAGGGGACACTTAAAAAACAAAAAAAGGTGGCAAAGCATCATGGGACATTCCCACCTTGGGAAATGGCCAACAGGGTGAGCTGCCCGTGCTGGCCTTCGGCATGCTGTCCCCACCCGGACTCCATTAGCGGAGCTTACCTCCAAGAAGGCATTCATTTGCTTCTGGACCCTGTTCACAAATCTCCACTGGATGACTAAGCTGTGAGAAAAAAAAAAAAAAAAAAAAAAAGGAACATGCTTAGCCACCTCTGGCACTCTACAGTCACTGCTCTGTTTATACTTGGGCCTGCTGCTCCTGAGGCAGGGTAAACAGAGAATCCCGGAAAACAGAAGGGCAAAGTGGGGTAGGGCTGGCTTTTGGACATCTGCTGTGAATCGCTCTATTCCTTTAAAAGACACCGGAGCATCCACGAGACGTCTATCTTCTCTCCAAGGCTACCAAGAGCGTAACTGGTCTGCCGGGCTGCATCAAGCCTCAGTAGACCCAAGTGCTCCACAAATGGGACTTGGTGAAGAAAGAAGAAAAGGTGGGCTGGAGAGATGGTTGAGCTGTTAAGAGCACTGGCTGCTCTTCCGGAGGACCTGGGCTTGATTTCCAGAACACATATAGCAGTTCACATGTGGGTAACTGTCTGTAACTCTAGTACAAGGGGATCTGACACCCTCTTCTTGTCTCCAAGGACACCAGCCACACATTATGATATACAGACATACATTTAAAACACCCATACACATAAAAATAGATAAAAAAATCAAAGATCTGTTATTAGAAAAGTCATAGGATGTGATCACACATATCTGCCCATTCACATGTATGTATGTATAAATATGAGCATGGGTTTGTTAAGAGTAGTTTATCATATCATATATTATACATGCTAATATTTAAAAATAATTTTTTTTTTTTGAGACAGGGTCTGCCTCCCCAGCGCTGAGGTTCAAGGTGTTGCTACCATATCTGGTCCACATTAGTACTAATACTTTTAATACTAAAGTTTAGAGATGAATGGTAGAATCTCAACGTCACTGTAATTGTCCCTGAGACAGTGTTCAGTGTGAGCAATCCAGATGCTGACCTCATCCTCTAGGTGGCAATGCCTGAGGGGAGCAGCCCGCAGCACACACCGCGCTCAGCTATATGGGTACCACAGGGCTAGGCTGCAACCCGCTGCCCAGCAGCATTCTTCCAGTACCCGGTCACCGCAGGGGCCAGTGAGCAGCGGGAGATTTCAATCCCACACAGCTGAGACCCTGCCTGACCTAGGCCCACATGATATATGTCAGAATCCTTAGGCTTCAGCCATCCTGGGATGGATAATTAAAACAAAACCAAAACCAAAACCACGTAACACCAGGACTTTACAAAGAAGGCCAGTGGTGTCTGCCAGGGGACATCCGATGAAACTGACCATGGTCAGAAAAAGTGTACCAATCAGTGTGCACAGACGTGTGCCAGGGTAGCTGCTGACTTCTAGCTTATTTGTTAAGTGCCATGAACTTTTATCTGAAAGTGACGAAAACCAAACTAAACCAAACCAAGAATAAAACTCCCAACATGAGCTTGATGCTTCATCAAGGTCTCCCGAGTAAAGGCGGCAAGGCTCCCCATTTCTTCCTGATTAGATGGCAGGTTTCCTTTACATCACACTAACATAGAAGATCCCAACCTGCCCTCTGAATTCACACCCACCGACCTATTTCAGATGAGGAGGGAGGACGGCACTCAGCCCGTTGAAAGGGAGCATAGGCTGCACATGAACTCAGTGTGGGCTGAACCCACCAACCTACAGAAACCAGAACCTGTGAACCAAACACGCCTCCATGTCCCTCACTTCGGCCCAGTCCTAGGCTAGATTGCATCTTGGAAGAGCCCAGAATTGTGGGTTGGGTTCATGCTGCTAACTGAAGAGGAAGATATAATAGAGTCAACTGAAAGTTCCTTCTGCCTGCTGTGGGCGTCCAGTGTTACTCAGGAGCTAAACTTTCAGAAGGACTCGATGATTTATTTCACAGAATGAGGCTGAAACTGAGTCAACGGACAGCAACCATCAGAACAACCCAACATGTCTCCTGCATTCCCTCGGGTTCTAGGATGGACAAGGCAGGAGACGGAATATTTTCTTTCTGGCAATCCCTAATTCTACCCCATTTGTGTTTAACATTCCCATGGCTGTAATTCCGAATTTCAGACGAGTCATCCATCCCGGAAGAACACTTGGCTGTTTACTATAATGTACACCCTTTCTTCGTGCAGCATTCCTCTAGGGTAGTTCACTGAAACTGTGAGAGAAGGGAAATTTCCCACATTCGATTGTCTGGTAGGCCAAACCAAAAAAAAAAAAAAAGGCTATTATTTAAACTGAAGAAGCCAGGCATGGTGGTGCACACCTTTAATCCTAGCACCTGGGGAGGCAGAGGCAGAGAGAGGGATCTCTGTGAGTTCAAGGCCAGCCTGGTCTATAGAACAAGATCCAGGATAGTCAGACCTCTACAAGAGAGAGACCCTGTCTCAAAAGTAAAAGCAAAACTAAACAAAAACTGACAATAAGTTCACATCTGTAGTATGCACAAGCAGTTCTGGGTAAGGACAACATCCACATAAGCCGTGTGATTTCTTCAAGGTCAAAGTGACAGGGACTGGGGAGATGGCTCAGTTGTTTAACTGCTTGCTGTGCAAACTGAAGGACCTGACTGCTGGTCCTCAACACCCATGTTAAAAAAAAAAAAGCCAGGCACGGTGGTGTGCCCCTGTATGCATCAATGAACTCGAGGTTCACTGAGAGACCCTCTTTTTTTTTTTTTTTTGGTTTTTCGAGACAGGGTTTCTCTGTGTAGCTTTGCGCCTTTCCTGGAACTCACTTGGTAGTCCAGGCTGGCCTCGAACTCACAGAGATCCGCCTGCCTCTGCCTCCCGAGTGCTGGGATTAAAGGCGTGCGCCACCACCGCCCGGCTGAGACCCTCTTTAAGAAAAAAAAAAAAAAGGATGAACACTGATTGAGGAAGATCTGACCACCCCCATGCATGCACATCTTCATCCACACAAATGAACACAACACACACACACACACACACACACACACACACACACACACACACACACACACACAGTAAATGTAATAAATATGTGCATACGTACTCAATATATTCTCTTTTGTTTTCATTCGTTACCATTATTTCTGACCCATTGGGCTTCAGATCCACTTGATAGGTCTGTGATTACAGAGGAGAAAAATAGCAATCAAAGACATGAAGTTATTTGACATATTATTATCGAATAACATCTTACTATAAAAGGAAGAGAAGCAAAGTTTGTTCAAAAACATTTTCCCAGCAATGGGCTCCGTGTACAGGAGGGTGTCTAGTGAATCTTTTTAACTGTTCCAAGATTTTAAGCATAGAAAGATGTTATCATTAGAGGCAAATTATTTTATGGCTATTTGTGAGTTTAATTATTCTTCATCCATTAGCAACAATGAAGGGCAACATTTTCACATGCTAGCCATTTATCAAGACATTAATTATGTTTAAGGAGAACATCTATCCATCAAGCCCACAGAGATCCAAATGCCAACCAACCATCGAGCCCAGAGACGTGAATTCCAGCATTCTGTTTGTTACTAGAAATCACGCTGCATAAAGAAGGATTCATGGAATTTCTTTCAAGAGGCAAAATACAGGGGCTTAAAAAACAAGACAAACAAAATTCAACTAATCAAACATCATCATCAACAAAAACCAAGTAGAAAGGGAGGGAGGAAGGAAGGACAGATGGACGGAAAGACACACATTTGCTTAAGAAGTCAGGCTGAGATTCTGTGTTTCTTTTCATAGGAGGCCAGAGGAAAACTGTCCCACCATGTGGGTCCCTGGGGTCTCTGTTTTCTCCTTTTGGTGACAGTTTCTCTTTTAGAAGTTCTATGAATGATGTGTACAGTATTCCAGGGTTGTACAGTGGGTGCTATATACACATCAGGATTGTCAGTTTATAAAGTAAATATCAAAAGACACTACACAACCACCCAAAGGGCAAAAATGTACATCTGAAAGATGACATTCACTGCGCCATTAAAACAGCACAGGATGTTTACTGACACGGGAAGGCATCTGTAGTGTATCTAATTCTACTTGAGGAAACAAACCAAGCAAACTTGTTTGTCTGTGCGCCTGCACAGAGTAATTCAGGAAGACACAGGTAAAACTTTTCATCATGACTTTTCTTGAGCTGGTGGAATCACGTGAGTCATATTTTTGTGTGTTTTTTACTATACTGGCTTTATTTTTACTAAGCATCAACGACATTGGTAGAACTGTTTCTGAAAGGGAGAGACTAGACTATTCATGTTAAATAATGAGGCCATGGCCATAAGGTGGGGGATGGGTGATCCTGCCAACCGGGTCCTTTTTGTCAGGTGGCAGAAAGAGCACACACAGCAGCCTGAGGAGGGCATTTTACTCCCCTCTCCTGGAGCCTCCAGATCCCAGCAGCAGCAGCGTTTCAGTTAGTGGGCGCCTTGGCACCCCCCCACTTCCCATTTCGTGGAGCTATCAGTCTCCAGGGATGAAGATTAGAGCTCTTCCAGGGTCCCGTTCCAACATGGGACCCACGACGCTGGTGCCACTGCTACTTCTTTGAACTGGGCACAACCCTCAGCTGAAGGAGTGTGCCAGAGGGCACACCCAAGTTCCCAGGATGCTAAAGCTGTATTATGTGGATGTAATTCCCGGGCAGTCTCATACTTTCACTTTTCTGTTGTTTGCATCCCTCCAGTCTCCAACCTTCCTATCTTCAAACACCCCCGCACCGTATGTCACAGGGCTGGCAGCCCAAAGCAGCTCAGACACACAGGCAGCCGAGCACCGAGGAAGCAGGGTGGAAGGCTTTTCCAGATTACACATAGTCCCGCTAGTAATAAGCTGAACGCCGATGCGGCTGCCTAGCGGTCTAGCCGTGCTGTGCTACGGCCCACAGCAAAGGATACAAGTTGAAGAACCGCGGGAGCTGGCCGCACATACCTGCCCAAAGTTCTCTTCATCTATGCAGAACATGAGGTCAAGTTCCGTGGGGTCGTTTTCTAAGATCCATTTCAAAGAGTTGTAGTACTCGCTGTCCTACAGGATTGACGCAGAGAGGAGAGGAAGCATTTACTGTCAAAACACAAATCTGTCTGGCTCTCTCACTACTAAACTCACCCTCACGTAATTCCATGCAAAGACGCCCAAGGGTGGCACTGTTCACCACAGTGTCAGGGGGCCTGCTCTACCAAAACCACTTCTCCTTCCCTTTAAAGATTTACTTCGTGTCTGTGTGAGCGTGCACACGTGTTCAGGTGCCCCTGGAGGCCAGGAGAGGGGTCAGATCCTCTGAAGCTGGAGTTACAGGCAGTTAGCTGTGAGCCACGCCAGGAGCTGAACTCCGGTCCTCTGCAAGAGCAGCACACACTCGTAACCACTGAGCCGTTTCTCCAGCCCCATCTCCCCACTAATTTAAAACACAAGACCTCTGGACAGTGACAGTATTTGTGACTTTCCTCCTGTTCTCTATGGCTAATGCCACCTGCCTGGGAGGGCAGTTAGCGTGGTGAGACTATTCAGGTACCCCTATTCCCCCCCCCGCCCCCCGCTTGTTTGGTAGCCCCACAGTGGTCTCCAACTCCTCTTCCTGACTCAGTCCCCAGGGCCTGGGATTACAGCCTGCCTACACCGTTTGTGGTTGTACCATAACCTGCTCGGGTCCACTGAATTTAACACAGTGACTTCTTCCTGTCTTCTAATAGTGAGAATATCAATGAATAGGCAGGACAATGCTCTTAATACCACATGCTCTGTGTTCTGTCCTTTCCTATTTTCTTAGTGTTCTTTGCCCATTAATTTAAGCAAAAAGCAGGGCCAGTGTTTCAGAAAATAGGAGCTGTGAGACCATCAGGTCCCCTCTGCTCATGCCCAGAGTCTCTTGCTGAGAACAGGACAGGCTCAAAAGAGACCAACAATAATGTGTACATCCCAGTTAAGACACTAATGGCCGGGGCTCAGCAGCTAAGAGTGTCTACTGCTCTTGTGGAGGATGTGAGTTTGAGTCCCAGCACCTACTGGGTAGCTCTGTAACTCCAGCTCCAGAGAAAACCTGAGGCCTCTGGCCTCTATGGACACCAGCATTCATTTGCATGTACTACTCACCCAAAACACATAATTAAAAACAAAAGAAATACCCCAAACCCCCAAATACTAATGGCCAATAGGAACCACAGATTCAGGTGTTTAATAGCAATCTGTAGAGTGGGACAGTGTTGCACACTTGGCGTAGAGGCAGGGGGATTGTGTGTTCTAAGCCAAGCTGGACTACATACATAGTGATATCCTGCCTCAACCTCCTTCCCCACTGGAGGTAGGGGGGCAATTTCTGTGCTCCCAGCCTCCTCAGGATAGCACAACAGAAGCATAAATTACTAAAGCGGAAGCTGGAAGGGAACGTGAGACTGAACTGAGACTACAGATGCCAGCCAGTCTGCACATGTCACCAGTCTGCACATGTCACAGGTCCAGAGTACAGCAGTCACCTATCACGGGCACCACTCATTCTCAACTCTGCACAAAACACAGTCCATGTGCACAGCTTTCTAACTCAAGTGATCACACGGAAGCAGAGCTGTAATTCTTCCATGAGGACAAAAATAAACACACACACACACACACACCCCTACCTACTTGCATGCGCATAGGTGGCAGAACAGACATAAACAGAGAAAACCAGACATGTAAGTGTACTCTGAAAAGAAGGGCAGATTTTGTTTTTGAAAAAAATCTTTCCTGTCCAAGGATGGTCAGTCCAGGTAAGCGGTCAGCACCACGCCATGTGGACACCACTTTTTGGAGGGTCCGTCTTAACTATTCAAGTCCCACTCTCCCATTCTGCAGCTGTAACTTATTCCTCTGTGTCAAGATGATCACATCTAGATGACTCTTGTTTTGGCCTTGCCTCCACCACTTAGTTCCATGAAGGCGGAAAAGAGAAGGTGGGATCTCCTAACATTTCAGGTGGAAAACAAGGCTATAACAAGGTTTCTGACATCCCTTGTGTTTAATTTGCTCATCCAGTCTCAGCTGGTTAAGCAGTGGGAACTGGGACTTTCCCACCTAAGTGCCACGGCTTTTGGAAATCAACCATAATTTGCTTATTATAGAAATCAGGAAGATCAATTAGCTTTCAGGCAAGCAATTCCTCCCTGTAGTTCATACAGAGTGACTGTACCTATAACAACTGCTGGGACTGCAAATACGGTTTCTGACACCCGTCTGTAAGGTGCGAATGGCCTGTGATGGCTACCTGATGTACTGCTTTTACTCACCACAGACTCCATGTCGTTCAGAGTTATCTGCTTCCCCAACATCATCTTGTAGAACGGTCGGATGAAGAATCCTGAAATAAGCAAAAGCTTGGTTAAGTCTGAAGCCCTGGACACTGCTATGCGGTCTGCGAAGGAAGTCAAAGAAATAAACTGCTTTCCATATAAACGGGACGTCATGACTGAATGATCAAGGACCTTCTAGAGTAATCCATGAGCACGTGAGGTGGGGATACTCACTGGTTCATTTAACTGTTAACCTGAGATAATCCAGAATTACCCAGGAAGGCATGCTCTGTGAAGAATTACCTAGATCAGTTTAGTCTGTGGGCACATCTGTCAGTGACTGTCTCAACTTTTGATTGTTGCAGGAAGATCTAGCCCAGTGCATGGGGCATCATTCCCTAGGAAGGGGTCCTGATCACTCTAAGAGAGAAAGATGCACTTATTCTCTCTTTGCTCTTCACTGTGGATGCGATGTGACCAGCTGCTTGAGTTCCCGCCTTGACTTCCCCAAAATGATGGGACTATTACTTGGAAGTATAAGCCCAATTAACCTCTCGTCCCCCACACTGATTTCTGTAAGGATACTCTATCACGGCAACAGAAATGAACTGGGACAGGGGGCCTAGGAAGCAGTGGAGTGGCGTGGGGGATGGCTGTACTTGGAGATGGTTAAAGCAGCTGATAAAAATGGCTCCCAGGAGGTAACAAACAAACAAGCCCCGGGCCGAGCAGAAGCGTGCGGAAGAAGAACAGGTGTCGGCAGAGGGCTGGGATGTGAGTACAGTGCTTCAGGGAGGTTGGGCCAGAAAGGAGACTTCTCCCGGGGCAGGGCTGAGTCAACGAGACCAGGGAAGCTCCGCCTGCACATCAGTGCCAGTTCCTGGACACTGCTGTCGACAGAGGTCCCCTGTGCAGGCCATGCAACGGTCCACGAGGGCTGCCGAGGGCACAGGCAGCCACGGCAGAGAAGACTCCCTGACCAGGTAGCTGTCTTCCTGGGAGCCCATCCACAGGAATGCTGCACCTCTTTGCCTCTAGATGTGGGGCCCCAGGGCCCTGCGGCGCAAGCAGCTTCATTTTGGCTTAGTGGAGTCCCCCAGGGCCATAGACGACACACTTTAATGTCTAGTGAAGTGAAAACATAACACTGACCACAGGGGCAGCAGGGCTGAGTGTGCTCTGCCAACAGGGCATTCATGTGCTGAGAAACTGAAGACCCGTGGATCTCTGACATATGCATGATCCCCTTTGAGGGAGCCAGCCCAGCCACCTTAGGTCCCCATCCACCCTTGGCTCTCGCCATTTTTCCCTCTGCAGGGCTGAGCGCTGGCCAGCCCAGGTTCCGACGAAATGCACCTGGCTTCTGATCTTCCAGGACACTCAGCCCCAAGGTAGAGTGGTTCTGTGCCTCCTCCTGCCAATGTGCAGCAGGACGGCCATCACTGCTGTTTGTCTTTCTTTTTCTCCCTTAAGTATGAGGTCACTGGGGTCAGAAGCATGTTTTACACTTATCTATATTCCCCCCACAGTAATTCAGTGTCTTCTTGCTTGGTGGAAGATGAATAAGCTGACTTTCTCAGAAGGTAGAGGGATAAACAGGTTGACATAAACAAAGGAGGGGCCTGAGGTAAAAAGACAAGCTGTATGCACACATGGGCAGAGTCATGAAAGTGCTTACTGTATACATACACATGGACAGAGTCAGAAAGGAGTGCTTACTGTATGCATACACGCATGGACAGAGAGTTAGAAAGAAGCACTTACTGTATACATATACGTGTGAACAGAGTCAGGAAGAAGCACTTACTGCATACATACACACATGGACAGTCAGAAAGGAGAGCTTACTGTATACATACACATGGACAGAGTCAGAAAGGAGCGCTTACTGTATACATACACATGGACAGAGTCAGAAAGAAGCACTTACTGTATACGTACACACATGGACAGAGTCAGAAAGGAGCGCTTACTGTATACATACACACATGGACAGTCAGAAAGGAGCGCTTACTGTATACATACACATGGACAGTCAGAAAGGAGCGCTTACTGTATACACACATGAACAGAAAATCAGAAACAAGCATCAGCTGTACACACACTTGAACAGTGCCATCACACAGGAGCACGCACCTTATGCATACAGGGGACAGATAAAATCAGAAACAGTGTCCACAAAATAAAATATTGATACCTGAGAATCACAGTTAGCTAGCCATTAGTAGTACAAATGTATTAAAAGAAAAGTTTGGCGGATCCATCAATTATTTACTGGAGCAGCTCAAACTCCATAAAGGCAATGAGCCAAACGCCCTGGCCAACAGCCCTCTCCACTGTCACGGAAATGTTCTCAGCCATTCCACACCCAAGTCTGAAGTTTCTCATGGTTTTTTTGCTCACTAATGATTTCTGTAGTGCTCTCTTATGTAAGGGGACTACTTTTGAGACCACCAAGTCCACAAGAGATCTGCATGACAGGCTTCAGTATATTCAGGCGGGGCTTTCAGTCCTAACTTCTCATGTCCTGGAGTTCCTGTATGTTTCCTCTCAAGAAGGACAGCTAATTTGCTCCATTTACTGCAGAGGACACTCTAGGGTTAAGGCTTTAGCTGAGTGATAACATCACTAGGAAATCATTAAAAACTGATTTGGGGACAAATGGAGCAATGGCAGGCTGCTGATGGATTAGATCATTTCTTTAACTTTTCAATTAAATTTTCCATCTGTCACCGACTCTAGCTCTCACTAGAGGAAAGGTGTCCTGAAAAATGCATGGAATGGCTTGTGCTTCAGACTTAACAGTTACAGAGAGTAAGTATACACAGATGCTCCGTCTTCAGTGCTCGAGACGGTACCAGAGGAGCACTGTTAGAGGAAAGCTGGGAAGCCACACACTGTCGGCTGGGGCTCTGAGTGAGTGTGCAAGGTCCTGGGTTCACTCTCTAGTGAGAAAAAAAACACCAAACAGCTACAGAGAACCAGTGAAGCTCTTACTCATCATCTACAGGAAGGCTAAGACTCTGGACTGCAGAACGGCAAACAGGTCTGCCTTACTTCTACTACCACAAGACTCTGGAGGAACTCACCGTCTAAGAGTTTCCCATGAAACACTGCCAAGCCAGCCACTCTTCCAATGAAAGTGAAATAGGACAAATGGTCTTCATTACAGAGGCCTGAGTTGGGATTGATCTGAAGCGTGTAGTTGTCCCTTTGGGGAGGAAAAGAGAAAAGTCCAATCACACTTAAAAAAAAGAAATCCAAGAGGCTGAATTTTCCTTTGCCATTCGTCACCCCATTTTACAGCGCACTGCAACACCGTCACCCCATTTTACAGTACACTTGCAACACCGTCACCCCATTTTACAGCGCACTGCAACACCGTCACCCCATTTTACAGTGCACTGCAACACCATCACCCCATCTTACAGTGCACTGCACATCCACCACCCCATCTTACAGTGCACTGCAACACCGTCACCCCATCTTACAGTGCACTGCACATCCACCACCCCATTTTACAGTGCACTGCAACACCGTCACCCCATCTTACAGTGCACTGCACATCCACCACCCCATCTTACAGTGCACTGCACACCCATCACCCCATTTTACAGTGCACCGCAACACCGTCACCCCATTTTACAGTACACTTGCAACACCGTCACCCCATTTTACAGTGCACTGCAACACCGTCACCCCATTTTACAGTGCACTGCACATCCATCACCCCATTTTACAGTGCACTGCACATCCATCACCCCATCTTACAGTGCACTGCACATCCACCACCCCATCTTACAGTGCACTTGCAAACCTTTGGGACTTCGTGGCGACTGATATGAGCTGGGGGATATAACCCACCAGTCACAGACCCCTTTCTGTAACTGACAGTTACGGGTTCCTGGAGCAGGTAACATATGGAAACCGCTGACAGCTGCCTACTTATCTATAGAAATGCCAACTTCAGGAGCCCAGGGTGATAGCTCAGTCATGAAGTACTTGCCTTGCAGACATGCAGGCTTCAGTTTGATCCCCAGAATACACATTTATAAAAGATGAGTGCTGACTCATGCTTGTAAGCCCAGGGTTTAGGAGACTGAAACAGATGGATCCCTGGGGGGCTCTCTGGCTGCCTAGCTACTTGGCAAGTTCCAGGCCAGTGAGAGACGGTCTTAAAAAGCAAAGCGAGGATACCTGAGGCTGTCCTTTGGCCCTCATAAACACATGTATACATGTGCACTAATACAGATACACACACACACACACACACACACACACGTCAATTTCAAACAAGTCAAGCAGACATCCTGAGAAGATAAGAACGCTCACAGTGTAAAAGGGTGTGCAGAGATCCTCAAGGACACAAGCTCTGTAGATGGTTTCTGTGATCAAAAAAGGTGGATTCCTCTGAGAGTCTTTGGATTTGGGGGTACTCCCTACAGGTCCAACTCTCAAGAGCACTGGGAGAAGAACATGGCTGTCTCAACAATGCAAACCCCAGGACACACCCCACAGTCCCCTTTGGACTCTCAATCATGAGGACCAGGAGTTTCCAACTGGGCCGTGCAGACTGATTTTTCCAGGCATGACCTTGGAGACGTAGAGAGAGGGAAGGACCTCAGCTCCTACCCTGCTTTCTACCTCAATGGTGTTACCAGTTTTCTACAGTGGATTCTCTCACAAGACTCACTACCAGCCACTACCAACCAAGGCCATTTCTGGCTAGATCAACTGAAGGTTGTCCTGAGACAGCCTTCCAAACGTGATGTAGGTACCAGAAGGAAGATGCAGGAGAAGCCACACCCACTGCAGCCCGTATTGGAACAATGCTAAACATCTCTTTTGCCAGGATCAACTGTTCTACTGGGAGCTCAGGATCAGCCTCGAGCTCTTGAGCGTTCTCAGCCTGGAGAAAATAGGAGCCAAAGGTTTGCTGAGAAAACAACTCAGTCTGCCTCAGTTCCCTTGCCAGGCAACGATGAAATCCTACTGTCAGGCACAGCCTGGTTCTTCTATTACGGGACCAGGGTAATGTCCTCTGTATCCCAAGCATGGGTCTTCAACGTCCTCATAACTTGCCTTTGAAGTAGTGAGACTTCGGAAACAACCCTTGTTCATGCAGCTGACGCCTCACACTGGCAAGCCCTCCCTTCAGTTAGAACAGCATTACAAGCAAGAGATGCCCCGCTCCCTCCGTAATTACCTAACACATTTTCGGATTCAATTCTGTGAGCCCAAGGGACAGGACAAGAGCCACTCTCGGGTGTTCATGGTGTTGGCACCTCACCGCGTTGGATCCGAACTTGTTTTTAGACTTGTAAGGGTGGTGGGGTTGGGAGGGGCTGGAATCTCAAATGGGGGAGTTACTTGTCTTTTAACTGTGGTTTACATTCACTAAGAAGAAGGCTGTAACCGCGGCAGGGGAGGGGCATACACTGCAAACGTCATCCATGTACTTACGTGGCAGAGTACTCAAAGAGGCCATAGTAGGGGTTGAACATTTCTTTGGACAGTAAGAAGAACCACTCCCTGGCCACACCCCCATAGTCCAGGCCTTTCTCTGATTCAAACTCAATCCACAGTCTAGCCTTTAGGACATCGGGTCTTTTCACAGACATGATCCTCCGATAGGACTCTTCAAATATGTTGTTTCTGTGAAGTTTCATTTCAAACCTGTTTGGAATATCAGCCTAGATGAAAAAATGAAAAGAGAAGCTCATGATCATACAGTATAAACACACACACACACACACACACACACACACACACGCGCGCGCGCGCGCGCGCGCGCACGCACGCACGCACGCACCCTTCCTCCCTCCCTGGGAAAATAACAAAAAGGCAGAAATGATGACAGTTTCAGATAAAAGTGCAGTGACGACCACTGGCTCCACTGAGAGTCTCTTCTTTATGGGTTTGTCCTCACACAGATGGAGAACCTCACTGTGTCAAGATGGGACAAGGTGGAGAACCTCATTGTGTCAAGATGGGACACACAGAAGCACCCGTTCACAGCTGCTCAGGCCGAGCCAGCCACATATCTTCAGGAGAACATCTGCTGAGCCCAGAAACTCATCCTTACCACTATGTGGACATGGTCACTTCACCCACAGGCATCGCCATCAAAAGGAAGATTTAATCCCACGTAATTAAACCTTTAAGTAACAACCTCCAGGCAAGCTGGAACTAATCTGTAGTAGGGGCTGCAGCTGGGAAATGAAGGCCATGATGCCTCAAGTTCACTGTGCTGTCATTAGGAAGTAGGACCCCAACCTACTAAGTTTGGGAGAGGCACCCCTAAACCCAAAGTTGACTGAATGATACCCAGCCCTTAAGTGAGGTGTGCAAACAGCCTTCTGGAAGGATGAAGTCCAGGCTAGCCTCGTCCTAGATGGGTAACAGCATGGAGCCCTTTGTCACCGGAGGAGGACACACGGATGACTCACAAAGAAACACTACTGTACGCCCCAACGTGAGCGTCAAGGGCAAAGAGTCTCCAGTTATGAATGAAGAGCCTGAGTCACAACCGTGGGACAGAGGATAAATTCTCTGACTGAGAGCAGAAGCTGTCAGTACACCTCGTTACCACAGGACAAAGCTCAGAACGAGGCATCAACTAGAGGGAGCAGAGACGGGGAGGCAGCCTCGGGTAAAGGAGGAGTTGTGCTGGGGTTCGCACCCAGAGGCATCAAGTTTCTGAGCAAACGGAGGGCAAAACTAAGGTCCATACCAGAGAGGTAAGGGGCACAGAAGACAGGAAGTTGGCCGCGAGAAGACGTGCCAATAGAAAACACAGTACCAACTTAGGGCTGAGTGTAAAAATCCACAGGGTCTCTTGTAAAACTGTTTGGGAGAATTGTAAAAAAAGAAAAAGAAAAAAATAAACACACTTGGACTCATCACTACCGAGTATTAGTATATGTTGTAAACTTCATGGTAAAATACCCATGTCAGAGAGTTAAAATTGCACCCCTGAATATAAAGAGATATAACTCTGGAGCTGGCGGTGGTGGCGCACGCCTTTAATACCAGCACTTGGGCGGCAGAGGCAGGCAGATCTCTGTGAGTTCAAGGCCAGCCTGGTCTACAGAGTGAGTTCCAGGACAGGAACCAAAACTACACAGAGAAACCCTGTCTCAAAAAGGAAAAAAAAAAAAAGAGAGAGAGAGAGAGAGAGAGAGAGAGAGAGAGAGAGAGAGAGAGAGAGAGAGAGAGAGAGAGAGAGAGAGATGTAACTCTGGTTTTCCCAGATTTGACTTTGGTCTCAACTTATTTTCTCTTCCATAAGAACCATATGTCTCTTTAATGTCTCGCATATGCAACTGCCCTTCAGGTGATGTGATATGTGATACTGAATTCATCTTCCCTTACCATTTTTGTTAAAAAGAAAATTCAGATGGAAGATCTGGGTGGACCAAAGGGCAGTGAAAAAGGTAAGTGTACATAGACAAGTCACAAACAGGCTAATTTCAATGAGGTAACTTTGGTGACAGGAACACAGTAAGACGCAGAGCTTTTCGGAGAGTTGATTACTCACAGGTTTCTTTAATTTCTTCCTAAAGTAGTCATATTTCTGCTTAAATTCTCTGGAGTAAGGAACAGCCTGCAAGAGAGATTCACACACACAGATAATGTAAACATATGCCTGAAATTCTATGTACAGCGAGCCAATGCTGGCAGAGTTTCATAAATTGCAAACCTTAAATACTCATTTTCTACAGAAAATCTGCATAATGTCTACACAGTGAAGGAGGAGAGTCCTAGAAATGATGAGGGCTAATCAGCACAACCAGATTGATGGCCAAGAAATCTCAGGACCACACTGCACAGACCAGTATGTGTTCTCTATGAATTTTGCCAGAGTATGAGTCAGGGTAACACACAGAGATACACAGATACGGAGCATCTTTTATAATCATATCATTTGTCTCTCCTGGAGTTAAGCATCATTGGCTATGACACTTGAACATACAACCCCAAATGATACACACAGTGGTCATTTAAAAAGTCTTTGTGGGAAGCCATGCATGGTACTCATTATTAGTAATTCATTACTCATGGGGCAGAGGCAGGATGATGGTGAGTTCAAGACCATCCTGGACTATATATATCAAGATGCTGTCTCAAAACATCAAGCGATGGGGGCATAACTCAGTGGCAAAGAGTGTGCTTAAGAAGTGCCAGGCCCTGGGCTCCATCCCTAGTACTACAAAACCAACCCAAAAAACTTACAGAGAAATACCATAAACGGAAAGGACAGCAGAGTGATACCTGGGTCAAGGGGTGGGAATGTGGAGTAATTTTGGAAAGGATTTAAATTGAGGAGTCACAAGGTTTGTCTTTTCCTTGGTGTTCTGGTTGGTTTTGACTGTCCACTTGAGTAACTGCCTAAATCAGATCGGTCTAGGTCAGCCTAGGGATTGTCTTGACGGTCAGTTTTTGTAAGAGGCTCTAGTCCACTGTAGGCAACACCATTTCCAGGGAAGGTGATTCTAGGGTGTATAGGAAAACCAGCTAAGCACGAGGGGCCTGTGTGAGCCGGCAAACAGCATCCCTCACTGTTGGAAGTAATGCTGTATGGAGCAGCAAACAGGCCCGCCTCCAAGTTCTCCGCCTGGAGCATCAAGCAGGCCTGCCTCCAAGTTCTCGTTCCACAGACTGTGACCTGAACTGTAAGCTTCCCCAGGGGGTTTTGGGTCATTTATCACAGTAACTGAAATGAAAGTAAGGCCTGGGGCAAGAATTCCCTTAAACTTGGCCGTCTTCTCTGTGAAGCAAATATGACTCCATGGGGGTGGGGTGGGGTGGGGGGCTCAAGGTCTCAGTCAGATACAACTATCCAAAGCTTTGATAGCCTAGCTAGGGGGCACCTGAGAGGCTGAGGCAATGATCATGAATTTGAGACCAGCCTGGGCCACAGCAAGACCCTGTTTCAAAAGCAAACAACACATCGAAAGATCTAGGATGCCTTGTGGTAAAGTAGTATTTGAATGTGGCTGTTCTAATCACTTTTATATGCTACATTATGAAGTATTTCAGTCAGACCACTGCCTGGAGGGTGACTGCAAAGGTCTGTGTTTATTTTTATGAAGCAAAGTGGACTAACTTTATGAACAATGACGTATCAGCAACTGCGTCAGTCAGAGCCACTCACTGCGTTCCAGCGAACTTATTAACTCGGGCGGTGAGATCTATGCTGGTATCGTTGGGGGCTGATAACATATACCAACCCTCAGCAAAGAATCCCTGGACTCAAGCACCTTTTATTATTCTTGGTCTTGACCATGAGGAGACAGAATGAAGAATAAAACCTTTGTCCTTTGCCTTCTGTTTTAAGGCATGGACAGCCCCCCCCCCCCCGGCAAAAAAAAGACCCCTATTCTTTATAGAAAATTTCATGTTATTCATTTTGAATACAAGAGCAATGAAGACATCTATTCTTATACTGTGTATGCTCAAGAACGTTCTATAGGTAATTCACACGGCCTATGGTCTGTCTGTCTGTCTGCAGGCCTGTCTTCCTATGGGTTTCCACGGAGCCTGAGAGCTGACCACATTTCCCCATGCATTTCAGACAGAGTGGTATCTAATGAAATCGTGTATGAGTTCTGACACTTGCTAGTACCTAGACCGCCATCAGCACAGAACAAAGACATAGGGTTCTGATACAAACTAAGATGACATCATGGCCTTCATTCCATTAGCGTTACGTTCCATCAGAAACGTCATTTTCTTCACATCCCTTACGTGCTGATCTCTCTGGTGGCTTGCTTGTTCACCCATCAGTGAATATTCTTGAGGTTCTCTCTGCCTAGCCGTTTAAGTGCTTAATTAAAAAAAAAAAAAAAAAAAAAAAAAAAAAAAAAAAAAAAAAAAAAAAGAATGACTGAACAGAAAACAAAGTCCTTTCCTAGTTCCTTCCTGGAGATGCTGGTGGAGGGCCACAGTAGTAAGGAAGTAGTTCATTAGAAAGTCAAGGCAGGGAATCAGCCTAGCTATCCATCAACAGGCGAACGATAAAGCAAGCACGGGCTACACACACAATTCAGTTGTATCGGGCCATAAAGAAGGATGAGATTATGTCATGTGGATGGAGTCAGAAGTCATGGAAAATGACCTAAGTCAGACTCAGAAGGACAGATATCACATTTTCCCTTACAGACAGAATCTAGATTTTTTAAAAAATCCATGAAAATAGAAGGGGGATTATCTGGGAAAAGATCGGCAGTAAGGGGTTGGGGGTGGGTGCGATTGAAGCACATCATATATATTCATATATATATATAATGTATGAAATCTATGTATGTATGAAAATGTCACTATGAGGACTACTACTCTGTACTCTGAATACATGCTAATAAAAAGGGGTGAAACAGGAAGTGAACGGATGAGGTGGGTGTTAAGAAGAGGAAAACTGATGGAGTTTTGGGGGGGGGTTATTTTGTGGGAGCCTAGGGGAGGCCGCTCTGAGGAACCTACCAGCAGAAGGATGGAGGAAACAGATGTGGAACAGAGAGCATCAAGGCCCGAGGAGGAAAAGCATTTAGCTGCACTGTCAGTCAAGATTAACTGTGACTGAAATCAGGGGGACCCTACCCCAATTTTCTCATGCCAACTTAGACTCATTCCCTTGCCTCTAAGTAACTTCCCTCAGCTCTGTAAAACAATCTGACTTGGAGCATGGCCTTCCCTACCATATGGGGACCCCATTTAAATTCTTTCCATATGTGTGTACGTTTCAGGAAGCTTCCACAGTAGTAGGTTTCCATATGGTTTTTCAAAGATTCGTTAGTGTTAGTGGTGCCTCCCCATATTCCCCCCTTTACCCCACTATTCCATCCCCCTCCCTATTTAATTTAATCCCATTTTGGTTTTCCCTTCATCTCTTCATAACAATAAATTCTACCCCCCTTTCCTGGTGAGATCTGCTCTTCTTCCCCATCCCCTTACTAGGCATCTAACCTCTATAATGATTTAGATTGAACACACACACACCGAAAGCTTAAAAGCGAACACCCATACACAGGACTCCATGCAGTCTTTGCCTTCGGGGGTCTGTGTTTCCTCACTTGGGGGTGTATGTTTCTAGCTTCATTCATTCACTTACAAATTTTATTTTTCTTAACAGCTAGGCAATACTCCATTGTGTAAATGTACCACATTTTTCATTATCCATTTATCAGCTGATGGACAGGTAGGCCTTTCCCAATTTCTGGCTATTAGGGATAGAGCAGCAATGAACATGGGCGAGCAAGTGTCGCTGTAGTAAGATGTAGAGCCCTTTGGGTATATGCCGAAGAGTGGTACAGGTGGATCTTGAGGTGGGTTGATTCTCAGCTTCCTCAGGGACACCCACACTGATTTCATAGCAACTGTACAAGTTGGCAGTCCTAACAGCAATGAATGAATGTCCCCCCTTTTCTCACCAGCGTGAGTTGTCATTTGCTTAACTCATCTTGGCCATCCTTACTAGGGTTAGATGAAATCTCAAAGTAGTTTTAATTTCCCTGATAGCTAAGGATGCCAAACATTTCTTTAAGTGTTTCTCAGCCATTTGTGTTTCATCTGCTGAACACTCTCTGTTTAGTTCTGTACTCCAAATTTTAATTGAGATACTTGTTTTCAGACCAAGTAAAACCTAGTATTCCTAGTGCTAGGAATAGGTTGTATCTTGTTTAGACATTGTCCAAAGGGGTCTCATGGACAGAAACCCCTGCCCCACCCCTCAACAGCCAACAACAACAACAAAACATCATAGACTATTGGGACTTTTCACATGTGCATGGGAGAAAATTATTTCCTAGAACGAGGATAATGTATTATCCACCTCCAAGCCCCAGCAACCATTAACTGCCAATAATTCCTCAGGGAAAGGAGGGGCCTCATGAACACCTCCCCTGTTGATGAAAAAATACTGATGGGCCAAAACTTGTACAGGAGTGCTCTTGAATTATTTTGATAAGAACCCCAAATTGGCAATCTCCTGTTGGTCCCAGTGAATATCCTGTATCTGTCTCCCCAACTCATCTCCTAGTACTTGTAGCTCACTGGCAAACCGCACCATGTACTCCCTGCTGATGAGTGTGTCCCTGCAATCATGGCTTAGGGTTTCCCCTCTGCCCATGAATACAGCATGCTGCGAAATTTCAGGGGATCATACCCCTACGTATGACATTTTCTAGCCAGCACGTATGAGCAGTACTAGGACAAAGTCAATGAGTCCGCAGAGCTGAGGAAGCATGATCCACAGCTTTGCAACTCTTCTCAACAGGTTTTTCAAGGCGGAATAGACTCAAGTTGGTTAGCATGCATTTATTATGACAACATCCTATAAATAAATACAGGACTTGTTTTGCAGCCTATAAAAAGGAGTGCCTCTCCTCCCTCTCTCTTTTTTCCCGAGACAGGATTTCTCTGTATAGCCCTGGCTGTCCTGGAACTCGCTTTGCAGACCAGGCTGACTTTGCCTCCCAAGTGCTGTGATTTAAGGCTGAGGGCCTCTTAAGGAGCTCGTACCCACATTTGGGTACAAGGTGTCTGTTTCCTTTCTTCTGAGTGCCTCTCCTTCTCCTAACTCTCATGCTTAAGCCTATATCAAAATACTCTCAACTAAATTCTGCTTTACAGTTAAAAAACAGGATAAAAACCCCGATTATACATTTAGACCATCCCTTTACAAAGGACTGGGAAGAAAATGTTTCAAGCCCATGCAACTGTACCCCATCTGGAAAACTCACTGAAGAGACAGGATGAATCTTAAACCACTCAACGTCACCAGTCTCTTGACATCACAGTAATGAGTAATACATGAAGGGTGTGTTATATACAGCCACAAGCTCGTATGAAGGGGAGGGACATGAGAAAATACTGACCGGACCAGTGATGGCTGGGTTCTGTAGTCTTGGATCTTCCCACTGAGTAATTTTGCTATCTGAAAACATTAAAAACATCAGGGCATTAATTCTAATTCCTTCTGCCTACAGGATTTTTAAGAAAGAATTTCCTTCTCCAAAGTCCATCCAGCCCCTTTGCCTTGACCCCAGGGAGGAGGATTTAGTATTTGGGGGTTAGAAGGTAACACTGCTGTACATGGCAAACATATGTATGATTAGTCAAAAATAATAAAAAAAAATGCACAACGAAAGTAAAACCATTTCTTTGCATTTTTTTTGGCAAAGAGCAGTTTGATAAATCTGCAATTATAAACCCCTTTACTCGCAAGGATTTATAACTTGATCTTGATTTCCAAAACACACGAAGTTTTAGTTCTCTAGGAAGTTAACACCCATACACATTTTTTTTCTCATTTCAAATACTTCTTAAAATTTGCTTATGATGTTGAAAAACGGCTTTCAAGCAGGGACTCTACATTGAACAAATGAATAATCCACCTCATGCACCTCTCACACGCATGCATAACTGAAGCAGCGGAGGTGATCACTCACACACTCACACACACACACACACACACACACACACACACACACACACAAAAAAAAAAAAAAAAAAAAAAAAAAGAATTAGACACAGCTGAGCAAGATCCCAGAGAAAGGGTGCCCTTGCAACCTGGCTGGGCAGGAGGCAGTTTCCTTTCTTCCAAGAGAGTGGGTGTGACCAAAACTGCTATTCACCAGCCACACCATCACTTGCCCAGGTGATGGCGTAGACCAGCTGTCTGGGTTCTGTGGGGTTTCACCTGTGCATGATTAAAAGGCTTCAGAGAGGCGGGGGGGGGGGGGGGGGGGGGGCACCAGGTGAAGCTCTGCGGTTCTCAGATGAAAAAAAAAACATGGCAAGGGCAGGTTGGGGTACAACAAGTACTTCTAAGTTGAAAAGAGAAAAAGGGGGATCACTGCTCTGAAAACTCACCCGGTTCATTCTTAGCCTGCAGGTGAGCTGAGGGCAACGCACGGACTCAACTTTAACAGGCACCTCAGCTAATTTATACACCCTGATAGTACTAACTTCACGAAAGCAGAGGCACTGCTAACAGAAATGCTCTAGGCTGATTATGATGAAAGCAGATGCTAACACATGTATGCAAATGTCATGATGAAGCTCATTATTCTGTGTAATGAATACATACTAGTGATAAAAGTGGTCTACATTAGGAAACAAAACCCTAAGACTATACATCTACAATGCTTTCTTTTTGGGGGGGTTTGGTAGAAAAAGGACATGAATGAAGTTCAGCTTTCAGGGACACTGATGTGTGCAGGTGGAGCTTCAGGTTGTCTAATGTCTAAAAGGAGACGACTTTGGACAGTAAAAGCTGCTACTGAGATGGAAAATCCAACCCAATCAAATACAGGTCGCAGAGGACAGCAGGTACAGCTGGATACAGCTGGATAGAACTGTGCCTTTATATAGCAGCTTGGGCAATATCAGTGTTCACTGGATATTTGTCATCAAAACAGAAAATAATCCAACCACTGCCAACACGCGAGGACTTCCAAGTCTTCTGACCAGACTGAATGCCAGACTCCCTGACACCTGTACTGGGATTCCCTGAGATTCCCGAGCAGGTGCTCACCCATACCACGGAGTGCCCCCATGTAACCCAATCCTCCAGTCAGCAGCCTGAGGGATTAATCTGGATGGCTGATTTGCCTGAATTGAGATTAGTGAAGCCAACCACTGGGTGTGTCTGTGAGGGCTTTTCCAGAGAGGATTAACTGAGGGGGTGGAGGACAGAGCTGCCTGAACGTGGACAGCACCGTCCCCCAGGCTGGGTGCTAGGACAGATCGAAAGGGGAGAAATGAGAACGCCCATCGGCCTAGGCCTAGGCATTCTGTCACTCTCTCCCTGTCTGCCATGACGAACAGCCTCCGCCATGCTTTCTACCCCCGTGATGGTTCAGAATCAGGAGCAAAGGACAGCTGGAGCTCTGAAACTGACAGCCCAAAGAAATTCTTCCTCCTTGAAACGGTCTGTGCCAGGTATCTGTCACAGTGACACACGCCTGATTAACAAAGCAGTATCACAATCCACTATCGGAGTCTGCAACCTGCCCACGCCCTTGCCTGTCCTTGGTGACCACCAAGCTGCCGTCACGTCCCTTCCTGCATCTGTTTCCTGGAGTAGTCAGTCTATGCTCCAGACTCCCAGTGCCACGGCCTAACCAGCCTCTATTCAAGATTTCCTCCACAGGTCCGCCCAAAGTTTATTCTCAAGAATACATCTGACCACTGTTACTCTACTCCGGGAAAGAGACCTTCAAAAGCTCTGACTGTTTGCAGAGTGAAACTGAGTCCTCATACCTGTCAGATACCTGGGTGCCATGCCAGCCTCTTTTACATGCTAACCAGGTAGAACAGGACTGCATTCCCTTGAGCAGGGATTCTCAACTGTGACCCTCTAATACAGCTCCTTATGTTGTGTTGACCCCCAACCATAAAATTATTTTCATTGCTACTTCATAACTGTAACTTTGCTACTGCTATGAATCGTAATGTAAATATCTGATATGTGACCCCATGGGGGCTGCGGCCCACAGCCTGAAAACCCCTGCCCTTGGGCATGGTATAGTATAACCAGGCTCTTGTAAATGTCTGTTCACATACACGGACATTTATGGCTTTGAGAGACAGAGTCCATGCGGCAGTCCCCACTCCCAGTGTGGGAGCTGCTGGTGTATCTGGTTTGTTCTAAAACTGATTTCCACTGAGCTCTTTAGGGTGAATCCTGCTCAAAATCTGTCTCAAAGAGAACATACCTCACAAAGCCATTTTCAGCCACCATAAAGCTGAGGACCCATGTAACAGGTTTGCCTTCCAACAAAATATGTCAGATACCTCCTGGTACTCTCTACTGGACATGGCCCTTGAGGACAGGATTATATGATATCCAATCCCATAATTCCTCTCCGCTACTAACCATGCCCCAACATTTAACAGGGGCTTCAGTGGGTGCGCCCCAAAACAGCTTTAATCGTCGGTTGGACAAGATTTAGGAGTTTGCTTACCTTCAGAATGAAGTCCCTCTTTCCAAACAGTTATCTAGCAAAATCCACCAGTATCTCTATAATGACTTAATGACAACGTCCTTCACACATAGTCTGAGCGCTTAGAACCACACACATTTTCCTGGGGCCACAGAATTTGGGAATTTGCAGTGAAGGACTGCCAATAGGTGTAATTGGCAAACAGTTAGCCAGTGTTTTAAAAAAGAACTTCTGAATCAAAACATGCTTTTTACCTTTGAGATATTAAACTCAAATCAAATGACAAGAAGGAGGTAAAGAATGAGAAACTCAGCCACTGTAGCTACTGCTCACAGAAATTTACTGGAATTTCTCTTTTAACCTTTGTGTTTGAGATACAGCGTGCGAATGACTCAACTTCTGGGCACATCTGGTCTGTAAGAAAAGTATTTTCCACTGAGAGTGCTAGAGATTTCATTCTAGATATTTCTCTAACACTTCACACAGAGGGAGCTCATCCACAAATATCCACCAAGTGAATCCAGGTGTCCAAACTTAAGCATTCTGTGCTTCTGGAAGTCTGCTTCTCAAGTCAACCACTGACAATGTAGGAAATACCCATCATGCCTGGAGCGAAGCCTCGTGCCTACCCTGTGGGCATGATGAGGGCAAAGGGAGATGGTGGATTTCTTCTAGCTGTTTGGAAAGAGAGACTTCACTCTGAAGCTAAGGGAATTCCTAAATCTTATCTATCAGGTGATTAAAGCCATTTTGGGGAATACCCACTGACCTGAGAAAGCCTTTGAAAACACAGGGATTTTCTGCTTGACAGATTAGATTTTGAGGGAAAGGCAGAAGAATGATTTCACTGGCATGTATCCCTTTACGGTTGTCCACAGGGCAACTGGTAAATTATGGAGAACTGCTTTTAGTGGCACTAAGAACATAACCTAGTCCCAATCGTAGAAAAGTCTCAGAATTTAGAACAAACAGTATTCTGGGGGGAAGTAATGCATGCACAGACATTTCAAGTGTTTATGTTGACAGCTGTGTGCTCATAGTATGGTGCTGGAAAGTACATAACTCAGCATTTTTTCTGATCAAAGACAAAAATCAAAGTTTATATATATTGAAAAAATGTGATTTAAGTCCAAGGGTGGCCCAGCCCCCTAAATATTCTGAGTTTTGGCTGGGCCTTCTTACTGACTCCACACCCACTAACTCTCATGTCTGAAGGCAAGTTCTTGGAGTACACTGGGTCCCCTAGTGACACTCAGAGGAGCTAAACCCCCCTCCCTCCAAGATGGCCACCTGCCTGCATATGAGCATTGCTTGGGGATAGGCTTCTCAACAGAAGAGACTCATCAATATACTCTGTTCGGTTATCATAACCCGAGACCTGGTGCTCACTTCCTGCTTACCAACTAAATGAAAACACAGAACAAAATACTACCGACCGCACACAGACTTGAACTTCGACGCCTTCTTTAAGGCTTCCCTCCCTCTCTTTCTTTCTTCAGACGTTTTAGGGCTACGTGAATATAATTCCATGAAGAATGAACTATCTCAAAAAAGAAAAACCTCCCCCGACCCTCCAAAACCAACTCCCCGGCTAAAAGCAAACACTGATTAGTTTAACTTTTAGATGAAACGAGAAACCACACATGTATTCCTAGGTGCTTAAAGCAAGATTCTTTAGCAAATCCTACGATGTCAGGAAAACAGCTACATATATCATTAGTGTGCTGGGTGCAAAGGAAACATGCTATGATAGAAAATAAGGTCAGAGCGGGCATCTCCCCAGGCAGTGTTTTGAAAGCATAGGCAGCTGAAAACACGGCTCATGTGGATTTGTTTTTTGTAAAACTAAATCAGTACGTCTAATCTTATTTTCTATTTCCAGAGTGTATTTATTAAAAGCGCAAATATCAAGGGACTGTCAACAAAAAAATTTTTTTTTAATTAAAAAAAAAAAAAGTTAATAGGTCACAAGATCAGGTTGGGTGAAAGGTCAACGGGCTGCCCGGAAGCAAATTTGGAAGGCAGGCACAGTACCGTATGAGGGCACTGAGTCTCTGGTATCATTCTCTCCACATAACACCTGGCTGCCTGGACAGGGAGTAAAATGACAAAGCTTCACCGTCACATCTGTGCTACCCTCCCCTTCCAGTACCCTGTCACACCTGCGGGCACAGCGGGGTCTACTTACTATGGTCAATGTAAAATGTTCGGCCATCCAGGTGGATCCTTTCCTCCCAACCAGGCTAGCATCCAGGAAAACGAGGGGGAGAGAATAGAGACGTTAGTTAGTGGTGCCCAAATCCACGGTGACACTGGAAACTCCAGGACCCTTCTTTTACTCTTCTCCGCTAGGGACATCTTCCTACGGAGAATGTGTCAACTAACGCTAACTCAGGGCACAGCTAACAAGTCACACCAGCTCAAGTGTCTCACAAGCTTTCACCATAGGAAGGACCAGAAATAGTGCTCCATGGGAACCCCAGTAAACCATTCAAGAATTCAGTGCAGTGGCGGGGTGGGGTGGGGGTGGGGATGGGGATGAGGATGGGGACGGGGACTGGAGAGATGGCTCAGACATTAAAAGCACTTGATGCTCTCACAGGGGACCTGGGTTTGTTTCCCAGCACCCACACAGTGCCTCAAAACCATCCATGATTGCAGTTCCAGTGGATCTGCTGCCTTCTCCTGACTTTTGTGGGGTGGCAGGCATACACATAGTGTATACACACACATTCAGGCAAAACAAAAAGACACCTAAAAATAATAAATCTAAGATATATTTAAAAGGAGTCCAGTATGGAGAGTTCACTTAGTTAAAATACCTACTGTGTACTTCAGGGAAGGAGGAGGAGGACTCATATAAACATGTAGCACACAGTAGCTTTAGTCTTTATTAAGAGGCTGAGTAACCCAGGGCTGAGGACTCTCACGATTTACATGGAAGAACTAAAGGCTCTGGGCAACCGACCGGCTTCCCCTCCTTCCTCTGCTTCTGTATCTGGGTGTACATATAGGAAGGTGCGTGGGCACAGGTGTGGGAACGGGTGTGGACGTCTGAGGTTGCTGTCGGCTGCCTTCCTTGATTGCTCTCTAACCTAACAAAGATGTGCACACGTGTATGCAGGTGTACACGCCCATGTATGTGGAAGTCGGAGGAAGACACTGGGTATCCTGCTCATATTCCACCTTACTCATTCGAGAAGATCTTTTCCTGAACCTGGAAGTAGCCTAGCAGTCAGCACGCTCCAGTGTTCCTTTAGTCTGCCCTCTGTAGCCCTGGGGTTACAGGCGTGCATGTGGCCAAGTCTAGCTTTTCACGTGGGTTCCAGGAATTCAAACTTGGGTCCTCATGCTTGTGTGGCCATCTCCCCAGCCCAAGAGATTTTCTTATACTTAAAAAAATTGCCTTTTTAGATTGTTTCCCTCAGAAGCCAGGAACCAATTACATCTGGATGGTGAGGGTTAACTGCAAATCTCATGGATGAAGACCAACCCAGAACTTTTCTGTCCCAAGTTCTGTCATAGTCTACCACACAGCAGGAACAGAAAGGCTCTTATCCTTGGAAAATAGCAACCATTCCCATTTCAAAACAGTGTTAGCGGTTGGGCGAGGTGGTCCATGCTCACTATCCTAGCACCTGAGAAGTGAGAGCAGGGGATTTTGAGTTCCAGGTTGGCCTGGGTTGTCTAAAAAAAAAAAAAAAAAAAAAAAACTAGAACCCCCAAAACCAAACCCAACCCAACCCAACTCAACCCTGTCTCCACACCTCTAGCATCTTTTAGGAAGGGTGGGCTGTTGAAAAAGGCAGACAGTCAAAAGTTTCATCCCAAACTCAATGCAGACCAAATCATACCATGCTCCCAAAGAGAACAAAATTGCAAAATAAAATGAAACAAAAATCAACCCTCCCTGAGGCTTGTAAACAATCTACAACAAACGGAAAAACACTTAAAAAAAAAAAAAACCCTACAGGTTAAATGACTTGGAGAAACTTCCCGTGGTTATTTGTGCCTTTTCCTTCCCCAGGATTCTTAGGGGTTTTGTTCCCGTGACTTAGCAGTATGGCTGGGGCTCACTAGTTGCTAGGTTACAAAATAAATGCATGCTGCTTAAATTGGCATCTGCAGTGTACACCTCTCGCACATGTCCTAGATCAAAAACTAACTTCCACTAAGGGCTAGTAATTAAAAGCCTTCTTTCACAAGTATTGGTATTGCATGCACGATAACGTGCCTTTCAAATTGCCCCAACATCTAGCCCTTCTAGGGAGTACCGACCAATGGGCCCAGAGAGCCTGGAGGAGACCCGCAGGCCTCTCTGTGAACACTGAGAAGGTAAGCAGACATTTCTAGACCATTTCATGCCTCTGAAGTATACTCACAGGAAGAGGGCCCAGGTCATTGGGGTTTAAGGATGCTTTTGACCGCATATGTACTGGAAATTTCAGCCGTGGATCTTCCTGCAGGAAAAAAATGTACATGGCAGCTGTTAAGGGGGACTCTGTGTGTGCACTCACGGGCACCTTCCCTTCCTCCACGTTCCCAGGCACCTGGAGGGATCCCAGATTTCTGTTTGGTAGAGGAAGCTTGGCTACTACGTCTCAGGAAAGGAGAACAAACATTTCAATGAGAGGTTAACTATTTCCCCAAGACTCAGAGAAGGTACAGAGGGGAAAGCAACCTGAATGGAGGATGCACGGCTGTCCTCCAGAGAAGGAGATGGGGTGAGTGTTCACAGTCTCTAGCTACTGACTCTTTGAGAACAGCATTCCTTAGGACTGGGGCGTCCCCAAATCTTTCTGAATCTTATCAGATGGTCCATGTGCTATTCCAGCAACAGCCTGCTTCATCATATGAAACCATATGTGTGATAGCAAGCAACTTGAATGCAACTCCTGATTGAGTTCTCATAATTAGGTTTTCATTCATGTCTTAACATAAAACTTGGTAAGAATTTTTCTTTAAAGGATATGCTCCTAAGAGGCCAGGAAAAAAAAGTCAATGAAAGAGAAATATACACTCTGGCATCTTTGGTCATGGTTTATGGTTTGCAAAAAATAGACATCTCATCTTGCACCATTCCTTGTCTCAGTTTCTTTAGATGAGGAGAACAGTATCAGAGACCCAGTTTCCTAAACTGACTTGCCGGAATTGGGAGGAGTTGCCCTTCACTTACATAGAGCCAATTAGACAGTGATGGGACTTAGAGAATCCACAGCTTTTAAACTCAAAAGATAAGAAAACAAAGCTCAGAATGATGCCCGGTCAACCGAACAATAACACCATCAACCCGAGGTGAAAAGCAAACCACTGAGACGTCTGACAGGAGCTCCGTCTCAAAGTAAATGATGGCTGCGCTGCTGTCAAATTACCAAAAGGTTTCCTGCTTCATCAACTTCCCGAATCAACAGTGAAAGCCAGGGGCGCTGGGTTAGAACAAAGCCAGAGGTTTTTGGAAGTGGCAAGAATATAAAGGAGCACAAACAGTACACTCGGCCTCGTTTTCTGAAAGGGAGAGGAGATTTTAATTGAAGACATAAATCATCATAGCACTTTGTGACGAATGTTGACCCTGAAGCTAATGCATCTTTCAAGAGGCTAAGATGTAAAATTTCCAGTATTCTGTAGCACACTGCAGCACACAGAATTATGCCAAGATTCAGGATTTTGAGAGGCCAAGAAGCTGATAATCAGGTTATCACTTGGAGTTGGTTAACTGGACAGAAGATCTACGTGAACTCCACAAGATCTAATCACTTAAGTCTTAATTCTGGGCTGGGGCAGGCGATGCCACAGCTGCCAGGGCCCCTTGAAACTCCAAGGAGCCAGTGACCAAGTCAGGTTTACAGAAAGCCTAGGATAGCTATTAGGAGGTGGGGATTCTGGATGCTTTAAGAGGAAAGGCCAGCCACGGAGTGACGTCAGCTGGACACGACGATGGGCCCTGTGGGCCACAGACAGGTGATGCAGAGAAGCAAAAAGAAGGCTATTAAGATGAAGGGAAAGTACCAGCTCCGGGGGGAGTGGAAAGGAGCAAGAGTGCTAACCAAGCTCAGCTGTGCAGGGCTGCTACCCTGGCTTTGTATGGAAACCAGACAGTAGAGCATGGGCAGGCAGGCCCTAGGCCAAGGGCTCGTATTTTACTGGAGTGGCAGCAATCAAAGTAATGGCTGCAGCTGCCAGCAGCCCATGTGTAAGGGGCATGTGGTGATAACCACCGAAGCCATTGTCCCTTGGACAACTTGAGGAGGGAGGCATCTCTGTAGCTGATGGGCAAGCGCCATGGCAGCTAAGGTCTGAGCATTTAGGGACGGTATTGAAATAACGGTAAGATGGGTTACTAATGACGTCTTCAATGACAGGGACAGAAACCAACCAAGTAGATAAAACGCACTTGGCTGTTCCTCTACTTCCTGTGGGTAGATGTGTGTGTGTGTGTGTGTGTGTGTGTGTGTGTGTGTGTGTGTGTGAGTGAGAGAGAGAGAGAGAGAGAGAGAGAGAGAGAGAGAGAGAGAGAGAGAGAGAGAGAAAGAGAAAGTGATTTTTAAAAATATAAATTGGTTAAAAAAAAAAAAAACCTAAGTGCTTTTTTCCTTTATTCTCCGCAATCACGCCAAGGCTATAGTCAGTTTTGTTACTGTAAACTTGGGTGGCTGTAATTTAACTTAAGGCATAAAGTTTGTGGTTGTAAAAACAGGCTGGTGCTTTGTCCTGTGAAAGGCATCAATATACCAACACACACGGTTTTAGCTGCTCCCTAACAAGGGGGGGGATGAGAAGGTTGAGGTGAGGTCGCTAGTGACTCCCAGCATGCACTGCTGCTGCTGAGGCCAAAGCCATCCCTTATTATTATTATTATTATTTTTTTTTTAAAATGTGGTCACATTTAATTCCAGTTAGACTGCTAGCACACGGCCTTCATCACCTGTGCGTATAAAGGCTGTGCACTGTAGATAGGCTTCTATGGACTTTCAGTGTATAGAAAGGGGACACTGGCCTGAGCCTTCTAATGCTCCCAGTGAAATTCAAGAACCGACAGCACAGGATGAAGGGGGAAGAAGTGGTATTTTCACTGTTCCCAGTTTGTCTCATCCATTGCTTTTCCTTCTGTTACAACACTCAGACCTGAGAAGAGTGTGCTACCCTGCCATGGAGCCTCATAATGCCTCCTGCAAACACGCCTGAATGCAGCAAGTCTTTTCTGCTCCTGCCTCCCTCCCATCCTTTGTCAAGACAGACATGCACTTCTGGATCTGCTTTTCAGGATGAGAATGCCGTCCAGCAGTGTCAGCACATCTGCCTGCTGAGGAAGGGAGGTAACCAGGGATTTCCAGTTGTTGCTTAAGAATTCTCTATGGCAGCAGCAACGAAATGTGCAAAATAAATGAAACGCTCAAGTGAGCCAACCAGTCCATAGTAAGAAACTGGGTAAAAAGAGACAACTGGTAATTAAAAGCAGGCTTCATCTGGCACCAGGGCCGGCAATAAATGAGGCCAATGCTATTTAAAATGAAACCTGCCCAGCTGCACTTACCACTACAGTTGGGGCGTGAGAGGCTGTGAAAAGGTTAGGGGATTTGATTACGACGCCAGTTCACATTACTAAAATCATAGCTTATGTTGGCAGGCCACAGTGGCTCCATTCACTAATCCTCTGACTTTTAAGATATTTATCCCCTATCTCTGGAGCCCCAGTAGCGCCACAGAAAATGGGAACACCAGAAGGACAGCCGAGGTTCTGTGTCAATGACAAAAATAAAAAATTAAAAAGACCCCAAACCAATCTCCACGGTTCTATTTGCCAAAGAGCTGCCCTCTTCTTCTCAGCCCGCAAGCCCGTAATACTATCTTCCGACTCAAAGGTGAGTCAAACAAACCTCCATGTCACGCTACGCCTCAGAAGTAGTTATCCGTTTACCAAATGAATGTCATCAGATCTTGATGGTAAGGCTCTTGGCAGGTAAGTAAATTCCTTTTTAGCAAATCAGGGAAGGGCCCTGAGAATGGTTCTCACTGTGGGGTGTTTGGAAATTCGGGTGCGTTTCTGATCACTGGTATATTGGGAGGGTGATGGGAGCCATTAGCATTCTGTGGTGGAAGCCAAGGATGTGAAACATCCCACAGAGGAAGACACAGGCCTACCCCATCAGCCAAGAATGCCCTTGTGGGGACATACTGCACCTCCATCCACAGGACATCAGGGAGCGCACTGCCCTCTAGACCGATTCTCAAGGGATTGAATTAACATTACACCACAGACTGAGTGTAAACGATAGCCAGGGTCACCTTGGGTGAAGCCTTTTCCTTAACCTAACACCGCCGTCCCATCGACTGGACAGTCACCACAACCAGACACGGGAATTCAGAGTGTGCACGTGCGCAGCTGATCCAAGACGGAAGAGTGATCCAGGGAAAAAGTCCCATCACTTCCGAGCAAGGAGAACCCCGGAGTCTGCTCTGCACAATCAGATTAGGCAGGCAGAAAAATGAAGTTCCTGCTGCAGCCAAACCAACCGAAACCAAGAGAAGCGCACTGAGCTGAATTACAGGGCTAGGCACTGTGCGACAGAGGAATACTGACTTAAAAACAGCAAGCTCTGATTAGGCTGAAGAAACAAAGTCAGAGAGGGACACGGAGACATCCTTTCACCTTGGCTTCATCTCATTTCTCCCAACCCAAGAGCAACGCATGGGCTCTTTCACACATGTGATTTCAGAACACACGAAGGATTAGCATGGCCAGAAAAATCAGTTTTGTCAAAATGTTCACTGGGAAGAACATTCAGGTTTGAACCTGGTCATATGGGCAATCTTTTAATCCGTGAAAAAAGGAAAGAAAAATACAGCACATAGATATAAAATGCTGGTCTCAAATGGCCACTAGAACGAAAAGAACTCCTCTTGTAAGGGGTGTGTATATGGCAAAGAGAGAGAGGGAAAACTTTAGCTTTAAATATTACCTGATTCCTAATACAATTCCTAATAGCACGAGATGAAGCCAAAAGACTAGCAATGTGAAGGCCACCTTCGCCCCCCGCAAATGGAACAAATTATTAAAACCAGAGCTTTCTAGGACTGCCAAGCTGGTACAGTACCCCAGTGGCGAGCATCTGCGTCTATAGCCACAGCGGCCACCAGCCTGTTAGGACCCTGGCCTCAGAGCTGGTGATGAAATGCCTTTACAAGGACTGTGAGTCAGAAAAGGAAGGAATTAACCAGAGCTCATGGAAAAAAACGGAGCCAGAGAAAAGCAGCAGCCTTACCCATGTTGTAGTCTTTGTGTTATGGTCAATGAAGAAGGGCCGGCCGTTTGGAGCTATCCTCATCTCCCAGCCTGGCGGCAGGAAGCTCTGTGTGACTTTGTGTTGTGGTTTGGGGGAGTTGTAAGGTGACGGCTGAGGGGATTGTGGGTTGGAAAGGGTATCTTTCACAGCGCGGCGTATGGGTGAGTCCTTGGCACCCTAAGGGACAATAATGAGTGTTAGAACTCTTCTTCACCACGTGCCAATCCAACACGTCACAACGCGCAGCTGGTACCGCAGAAAGCTCTTCCTCGGAGACCGATGAGGGAGAGGCTCCCCCAGACCCCATTTCTCCATCTACTTTCAGACCAACCTAAATTTACACCTTTCTATTGGTTAGAGATGCAACAATATCAAGGATGAATAGTCGCCATTCTTTGCCAACCAATCATGCCTGCCCAAAATACCATTTTTTTTATGGGTGGAGATTTCAGAGCAAGCAAGAGGAGCCTCTGCTCTCAAAGAGCTCATCGTCTAGCGAGCATGGTGATGGGTTTTAGAGTCCAGAAGGGGGCCTCCATCGATGGAGGCAGCCACCGGGAATGACAGTTGTGACCCCACATTCGCACCAGCCCAGAAGCGCTCTTATCCACTCCCACTGCGTAGGAGGAGCTTGCCTCAGGGCACTTTAATATATCCATTTACTCCAGAGCTTTTCAGAGTCTCTGCCATTTGGGAGGTTCAGGGCTGCCATTAAAACACAACCAGGGAGAGTGTACAAGCAGATGTCCAGCAATGAGTTCAGAGATGGAAAATGCACGTTAGAAACACGTACCCACACCACGAAGGACCCTACATTCAAAGAAAATGTGAACAAAGCCATAACTAGGTCATACAACTCAACAGAAGCGTCGCTGTCTGGAAGAATTATGAGCTCGGATGAGGTGACAGGCAAGAGGGAGCAAACACAACAGGAATGATACAAGTTCAGCAGAGAAGAGCACCAGCCACCACACACTGGTACCAGCCACATGAGAAGGAAGATTATGACGGAGTCTGGAATGTTAGCCGGGCAAGACACAGAGGCAATGTGGGGCAGTCCCACAGAGCAGCCGTCACCGCCAACACGGGACGACTGCTCAGTGTGGAGCTGCCTGAGAAATGAAGTCCAGGGCAGCGCGAGGAGAGAATGAAGAGAAGCCACGGCACAGAGGTGACCCTGGTTGCACGAGGCGGCCTTCTCACCTCCAGCGGGGCAGATAAAGTTACTGTCGGCGAGCTGAGGCTACGGGGCCGGCGGATCTGAGGCTCGACTAGGTGGTTGTTACTGTTTGTGGCTGATCCGGAGGCACCATCTTCTGCAAGCTATTTTGGAGGCAAACACAAGTTAGCTTTGTCTGAGGATCTCCCTGTGTGTGATCAGGAGCATGAACTCCCCCAACACCACCACACACAGCAGCCATAGTAAGAGGTCTGGTCTATTTAAAACATGGAGGAAATAATTAAGCCTAACACTGGGGGCAAAGATGGGGAGACACATTCAATAGAAAATGAATCACTGGCCAGTATACAACTAGCCTTGGGGGAAAAAAGGGATGTGGGGGTGGGGAAGGGAGCTAGCTATATTCAGAGGCTCACTTTCTGAAAGTATCTTTCATGTCACATTTAAATAAATGTATCCAAGGACCAAAGTCTTCCTCAGGCAAATATTCTACTGAGAGTAACACACGTCTTTGGTGAGAACATGCCTTTTAAACACAGGCCCCCTCACAATAGGACATGAAAATCATCAGGTCAGGATGCTGGTCATTACACCTTGGCTGCTGAGGCCCTTGAGCCTGGGTTGGATGGTGATCTTCATACCTGCATTATTGGTCGAGTCCACGTTGTGGTTCGATTGTTATGATTGACATAGTATGTACGTCCCTTAGCATCCTTTCTTTCTTCCCAGCCTGAAGGGAGGCCCGGCGTGGTATGTACATAGGCCACTGATGGCTGTTTGTGCAAGAAATCGTTATTATTTAACAACTAGAATTTGTTTTCTGACCAGTTTAATAAAGTAACATACACCTAGAAATTATACTTCTCTGGGCAAGATAAGTTAATGCTGTTTGTATGGGAAAAAAACAAAAACAAAAACAGCCAAACAAAAAACAAAACAAAACCCACAACCCACATACAAAGAGTTATCTGGAAGTCAGAGACAGACTCTAAGAGCTTCAACTCTCCTGTGAGACAGCAACAATCCACATTCTTACAAAACCGGCTCTCAGACCCTGAAGTCTTAAATACAATCATCACTAAGGTGTCTGTAGAGAAAGAGGATGTACCCTAACCTGGTCCATCTAGTTCATTGCTAAATCACATAGCTCGAGAGAGAATTTCAAGCTGCCCAAATGCTTATGCCCACAAGAAGAATGCTCTAGACACGTCTACCCTGCTGGCTACCCACAGACGCTGAGTACATAGTTCTTCCTGGGTCCCAGTGTACACAAACTTCCAGGGCAAATGATGTGACACAGAGCCTTTCCTCTTCGACTTGCACGTGTGTACGGGGACATAATCTCAAGGAACCCATCATGTCTATGGAGCCTCACACCAGAGGTTCTGTTTATACCAGTGATGTCCAGTTTAGACTATAATTGGATAGTGCAAATTCCATCTTTCTTTTTATTTTTTTGAGACAGGGTTTCACTATGTAGCCTTGAGGCCTAGAACTCACTATGCCAACCAGGCTGGCCTTGAACTCATAGAAAGCCTGCTCCTGCCTCCCCAGCGCTGGGATTAAAGGCGTGTGCTACCACACTCAGCATGAATTTCTTCTTTTTTATATAAAGAATTACTGGCACTTTGGCTTGTGTAAGAAGCAGCCTGAGAAATACAGCCTGGGTGAAAGGGTATTAGAATACAGAGGATGGGTGAGTGCCTGACAGCAAAGGGATGCCCAGGGCCAGCACCAGCCTCGGAACGCTTGCACACACGGTGCTGGGGAAGCAGTGCTCTAGGGGAGGGGCTTGGGAAGACAGTACCTACCCGGGCCACCAAGACTTCTGGGAGGCAGAGGAACAGAAGCCCTGTTGCTCTGACTGCTGCCTTCCCCACTGGGGTCGCTGTGGATGATTGATTGATAAATAAAACACTGATTGGCCAGTAGCCAGGCAGGAAGTATAGGCGGGACTAGCAGAGAGGAGAATTGAAAGAACAGGAAGGCGGAGGGGAGGAGACACCAGCCTGCCGTCCAGGGAGCATCATGTAGAGGCAGCAGGTAAAGCCACGGAACAGGTGGCGACATATAGATTAACAGAAATGGGCTGAGTATAAGTGTAAGAGCTAGACAATGGTAGGCCTGAGCTAGTGGCCAAGCAGTTTAAATAATATAAGCGTCTGTATGTTTATTTTATAAGTAGGCTAAGGGACTGCCGGGGTTTGGCGGGACCCAGAGAGAAAAACTCTAGCTACAGGGGTCTTCTCCCACCAGCCCTTTAAGTAACTCAACAGGTGCTGCTTTCTTGGCATTAGGCTGACCATGTGACTCTTCTCTTACTGTGCCTTTTTTTTCTGTCCTGCCCTAGCTTCCCTGCTTACTTTGAATGGCTCTGGTGAAGGTCACAGCCGCAGAGTCCTCAGTGGACCTGGGACCCTAAATCAGAGGAAGCAAGACCATGTATACTGAAGTTACTAAGGTCTGCAGCTGAAGAGGCAGGCTCCTCTGTCTGCTTCCCACGCTCAACAGTACACTCCAGAAAAATGAATTTGAAAATGAACCAAGAAGCAGCTGAGTCAGCGGTTATTTCTAAACCATGTTTATCAGGCAAGGAGAGAGTGTAAGGAAGCTTCCTGAAAAGAGATGCAGCAAATATCTCCTTGACATTTTCCCAGACGAATCCTAAAGGAGAAGGGAATTCCAAGAACAACTCACTCCAGAGCATCCTGTATCCAGGAGTAAGACAGCCACCCACTGAGGGATGTTAAGGCTCTACAAGCATGAGAGACAGACCAAGGGGTCCACAGCCTAACTGGAGGACACCAGCAACAAAGCTCTCCCTCCCTTCCCAGGACTTGCACCTAGACTGACCAAAAGTCTAATGTACTGTCAGCTAAGCAAATAGTTAATACTCTGGCAAAAAACCACTTTGACTCACTATGGCTTCTATGACCCAAACTGGTTTAACCACATGGTCTATTAAATGGCACTGTTACTTTTCTCCTTTCTTGATGAATTATGTTTTGGGGAGAGGCAGTTTGCTATGTCCTCAGAAAATTCATTTCCAGAAACATTAAGACTTTAGCCAACAAATAGTGATGATGTTCCTGGAACAGATACTCTCGGAGCCACTGACAAACTGAACGACTGGGATGTTTCCCAATCTCAGAACCGAACTGTCAGCTGCAAGAACTTCCTGCACTCGGACTCCACGCACAGACCCACAGTTAACAGGACCAGCCAGTTTACAAAGCCAGGAGGATGGCAGAGAGAACGCCGTATTTGTCTAAGAGGATCATTCTTCTTTCTACTGGGAATTGAACGGGCAACTGGTGATGTAGTCACATCTGTGCAAGTTGCTGCTTTTAAAATATTTCTTCCTAGTGCCCTCTCTAAATGAGCATGTAGAACAACTTGTACTGATGATTCCATTTGTGACTAAAACACAGCCATCCAGGACACATAACCAGCAATGACAAGACTCGGCTTCTCCAGACAGTTCTATGCAAGAGGCCCAGGCTTGGGGCCGAAAGATTAGACGTTTACTACTATATGTGAATAACAGTATGCTTCAGACCACCTCAAGAAACAAGCTGGGAAATCCAAACATAAGCTGAACTTAACATTTCTGTTTTCATCCATAGACCAAATATACTGCTGAGCTTTATGAGTCCAAATCGGCATTCACTACAGTTTCACTAACTACAATGGAGAACCAGATTATGTTTAAACTGAGAAAATTTGACCATCTTTTGACACTGACCACCATGGGTTCTCCATGACTCACCCAGACCCTGCCACAGTGCTATATCAGGATATTTTTAGAATCTCTTCAGTGAAGATCAAAGGACTCTTTCGCTCTATTTGAAAGGGAGAGCCCTGGTGCAGCCTGTAAGAAAGTGACACTTGTGTCCAGGCTTTTGCCATAAATCAAAGGGCCATGAGTCCTTGGATAAGGACCAGTGCTTCTCCACAGTGTAGGGAGAAGTTTTCCATAGAGGGACGATTACCACAACACAGTGGAGGTGGGAATGCCCTTCAGCATGGGAAAAGAGTATAAACTGTGGTGCATTTCCATCTCTGAATAGTAAATGATTCTTAACATAGCCAAGAAAAATCAACGTAAGTTAAAAATAGTTTGCTGAGCATTATGTATGCAACATCATGCTAGTTCCCCCACCCCCCACCCCCAAGTGAAACAAAACAGAGCCGGTTTGTGTGTGTGTGTGTGTGTGTGTGTGTGTGTGTGTGTGTGTGTGTGTGTGAGAGAGAGAGAGAGAGAGAGAGAGAGACCGACCGCAGACCGCAGCACATGCATGCTTCGGAGAGTACAGGGAGGAGGGAGGTGACATTCTAGGAAGTTTCTCCCTGGCATATGCGTCAAAGAGGAGGTCAGAGGGGAAAACCATGCTAGGAGACAGAACAGAAAACAGACAGGAAGGGAAGTGGACTTGGTCCTTTCAAACTTATCTGGTACTGAGAGAGCATGGCATATCAGGGTGGGAGGCTCCTTTAAGAACGACCACTGCCAAGTCTTTAAAAATAAGAGACCAAACCAAACCCATGTTTTAATTCACAGATGGAGGAGAACACAGGCAAGAAAAGTGCAGTCCCAGAGCCACATGAGTCTTGCCGATGGACGCTTGTCCTGTCGGTTATCTTTCTACTATAGTCTGGCTCAACCGCAACTCAGTTTGCTCTGCCATTGGCTGTCATTAGCTATCCTAACACTCCGAAGCTATAAGCAGGTTGCAAATCCAATTAAATGTAAAAACGGGTACCACCTTAAGAGGATGCTTACGGGTATAACGAAACAAAACCATCCCATGGAACGGTCTGCCTTGCAGCCCCACTACTCTCAGAGAAAATCACCAGCACGTAGTAGGAGATCAACTACGTCATGTGCATGCGGACTTCTTTGGAGTCTGCTGGAGGTGGAGCCTGGCTCTCCGGTACATGACTGTTGTTAGGTAAGCCACCGCGGCTTAGCAATCTTACACCGTGCTCACTGCCCTGGTGGCCCATAGGAGTTTCCTTTGGGTAACACTTCAGGAAATCAGCTATTGTGTGTGTAAAGTTCTTCACAAATTGTAAGTAGCCACAGCACGTGCCACAAAGGAAAAACAATACACACAGCTCTTCAAACAGTCATCTAAGTCATCAAATACGGGCTTGCCCGACTGCAAGGCCCAGGTGGACACATCAAGAACAACTAGTCAAACTGAAGTGACACATGAGCATACATACTATTAATCAAAATAAGGAAACGGTAACAACAACAGTAGACACTTGCATTGACATCTCCTAATTGCTCCCTGCCCTGGAAATCGTAAAAACACTTGTCCATCCCTGTTGAGTCAAAAACCTTGTGGCAGAGAGAGGTTATCGGTTATGATGGAGATACAGAAAATCTGGTCCCGTTAAAAAAAAAAAAAAATGTGGCCGGGCGGTGGTGGCACACGCCTTTAATCCCAGCACTCGGGGGAGGCAGAAGCAGGCGGATCTCTGTGAGTTCGAGGCCAGCCCGGTCTCCAAAGCGAGTTCCAGGAAAGGCGCAAAACTACACAGAGAAACCCTGTCTCGAAAAACCAAAAAAAAAAAAAAAAAAAAAAAAAAATGTGGTGTGGGAAATGGGAGTGCCCAACCTCTGGCACACCTGGACCCACACGTCCAGTCCTGAACGATTCCTACGGCTTCTCTAGCTTAACTGAGCATGCGAGCAGCAAGAGAGAGCTCACCGGAACAAAGACACTGACGAAACTGTATTTGAAATGCTCGGATGCCAGCACACTTAGGCTCGACTGTGCTCTAACAGAATTACAAAGGATTAACCATGACTCTGTTTTGCCCAGTGCCTTTGAAGAACCCAACCTGAGAAGTTTAAGGTGAGGAATACACACGTCTCTGTAGCACAGAGAAACTGATCTTATTTTGAGAACAGGAGGGAGCATATTCACCATAATCAAAGTGATAAAGTACCCCACAGCCCTTCACCATTAGGGTTCCGTAACTGTGTCATTACCGCGGATTCCTCACCACCCGTGACAGTTGACGAACGCGCTCGCCTAGTCGGGGTGCTGGGCTGTTAAATGATAACGTACATCAGTAACATGTACTTGGGGGACCCATGCCCTGCTTAGTGAATCAGGTATCACGGCTGTGGCAGGCGACGTGAGCTCAGGATCCTTAATATCCACCTTGTCCAAACGAAGCTGAACACACACCAATGACCAGCAGCAAAAAGAGAGCGTAGCACATACTCTCTCTGTACCACCACATCACCCCCAAGAAACTCAGGCTGCACGTTCATTTGGGGTAACTAACAGCCACTTCAAACGGGATAGTTTGCGCTCCACAGTCCAAAACTTAGATTCTTTTATCTGCCACTCTTGGAGAGGCCACTGGTGGTCGGTCAGTCAGTGTACAGCATCTCATGGACAAGGAGAGAAGGTGGAGTCATGGTTTCCAGGCAAAGAAGCTCCGTGGCAAATAAAATTGACACTGATTTCGAAGAGGAGAGCGAGTGCAATTCATTTTTACAGGAAAATCAGAGAATCATGAGGGCGAGAAGGGTCCCCGCCGGTTCATCACAGTCTGTGGTTCTGCTTTGGGAGGCCTGTACTGAACCCACCTTAGCTTGGTCTTTAGCCAGCTTTCCCAGTGGACTCCACAGCCCGATTTATTATTCTGACTGGCACACCATGACTTCATTTTGTAACTATAAAGTATTAACGTCCTCTGAAGTCAGGTAAAAATGTATACAGCGAGGAAGATGGTTTCAGAAATTTCAAATCTGTTGCCTGTCTTCAAGGTCATACGCAAGGACTCGCGGGTCATTAAAAAGGGTTTGTAGCAATTAAAAAAAAAATGGGCATGGTGGTTCATGCCTACAATCTCAGCACTCAGGAAGGAAAAGCAGGAGACTGTTGCAAGCTGGAGGCTAGCCTGGAGTATATATAATGAAGAGCTCCAGGCTGGCCTGGGTCATATATCAAGACTCTGTCTTAACTCCCACCTCCCCGACAAACCCACAAAATCCAAACAAAATAAAAGGTCAAGGTCAAACATCAAATTGAACATTTAAAACCACACAATATTTTTACCTCCCAGAGAAGAAACACATTTTTGTCATTTTTTTTTTTTTTTTTTTTTTGGTGAGGCAATGCTCATCTGCCCTCCAATTTGATATTTCGTCTATTGGAATCAAAAACCCCTCTACCATGCCCGTGTGCGCACGGACTTATCACAGCTGTAGGAAGGAAGGGGCTGATTTTTCATTCACGGAGTTGCCTTTGCAATTAGCCCAGGTGCTCTCGGTAGTGGAAAAAATTGGCTTGTCTTGCTGGAAGAGTTCTTCCTGACCAGTGAGTTTGCAGAGTTCAGATATCGGGACCACAGCTATAGCTGCTGAATGGACCACATAGTTTCAGTCATACGAGTCTGTCAGAAATGTATACCTTGGAGTGAAAAACCAAAGCAAGTTTTTTAGCATTTTGGAAGCTTGGTTGGCAGTTAGGGTTCCGGGTTGGAAAGTCAAGATCTCTGCACAATGTACTCAGAAAATTTCAAATGTCCTGCTTTATAGGGTGAATGGATCTGCACAGGAAGAACTCTTTCTCAGCAGCTCTGGGGATTTGAAATCAAAGCTGAAAAGCCAGCTGAGGACTGGAAACGAGTGTTTATTACCGGGGGTAGGTGAGCCTGCTCAGCAACCGTGTCTGTAACGCTGCAGGACCGAAGCCTTGATGAGGGCTCTCTCTGCTGCAGAGGGAGGGAAAGACAGGCAGGGTTAGGAGGAATCTCCGCAGAACCAGTTCACTTACTAGCATGCACTGCCCTCTGACCTCAGGAGGTAATCAAACACCATCTCTTTCAGGACAACGGACAGTAGGCCTTGCAGAACTCTGTTTCAATCCTCAGTGTTTTCCAGTGGACCAGACTTACAGATCAAAGGAGACCGGGACTACGGGAAGGGAAAAGAGACAGGTCCCCACCACATTTGAGAGTAACAGGAGGTCAGCAGTCTTGTACACTCCCTGGGATGCCAGCTCTGGACAAATTCTCAAATGCCCAGGACAGAGAAGAGGGAGGGAAGAGCGACACGTGGCTCTTGAGCAGCTACCAGGACTGTGCACAGTGAGCTAGCGGAACTGCACGGCCGTCTGCACTTAGACATCACCCCCTGCTCCCTAGGAAGGGTTGGGGGCTCATATTTAGCTTCCAAGCAGGACTTCAGTACAGACCAGGAGTGGAGCAGAGACGTGAGGCAAATCCAAAGACAGTCTTGTGGATCACACATAACGTTCCTCTCACTTAATTGAACTCTATGTGGTTAAACAAAGCCTCATGGAAAAAAGATCCGAGAACGTCACAGGCAGAAGCCACAGGTTCCTTATGGTACAGCTTGTAGCATGTGTGACTTTTTAATATTTTACAATAACAAATGATAAGTTAAAGCTAACTGAAGCTCTGGGGTGGAAACAGGGACTACCTGCACCTACCCACACTGGGCAGTGTAAAGGAGTCATTCCTTAGCAAAAAGCTCAGCCCACTGCCCTTGAATACAGAGTAGCCTTGATCATCAGAATTGGAGGAAGATCCCTAAGGATATGCTATCATACTTGGATCTTCGGGCTATGCCACGCTTCTGGAAGCACTAAATACAAGAGCTCCCTACTCTAATTGTGACAAATGCTAATTTATAGCAACATAGAAAATAGGAATTTTTTTCCACATGGTTTATATAAATGGTACATAGCTGCTATAATTTCAGCAATTCTTTCTCTGATGCATTTTAAATACATGGCTTTGTGGCTTATGCTGTTTCCATAGCAACAGTTTTACCAATTCAAATAGCTCATATATGCAACCTCCTTTCTATCCACTTAGTACTAAATTTTCATCTCAGTGGTATTTCTCCTTCTGAAAAACATTCACAGAATTTTAATGTGAAAGCACATTCAGAAGAAATCACTGCAACTCATGCAGCAGAGGCCAACAGTTTCTTTTAAAAGGAGAACACCAAAACTGAAGGGCTAATAATTTTGTACTTAGTGGCTTTTATGTTTTATGCGGCCCTCCTATCATTTACATTTAGTAGGCTCATAAAAACGACTATCATATGAGAATGCCATTTCCAACATAGTGACTATCACCATTTCTCCAGCACATCTGTAGGTCTAGTGGTTTGAGAAACACAGTGTGTGCATTTGGTCTCGATTCTGTACACACACAAGAATGGTCCATGGGCTTTCCCTGCAGTTCGGCACCGTCAAATGCAAAGTTCCTTGTGATTGATTTCATGCTTCCTCATTGACCTGAAACCTGTAGAAAGCATTTCTCTGATGGCTGAGAACCCCAGATCAAGTGTACCCTTGATGTCAGGGCCACAGTTTCATACTGTCTCCTCAGGAATTCATATACTGGGTTTTTGGGTATCTCCTACCTCCTACTCAGGCTTTGCCAGGGACACCACTTAACATCTGGCCCTACTTATTTGTGAAATGGAACATAGAGGTGTGTAGGGTGTGAGTCTAGAAGACTGGCTGGGAGTCTCTAGGGCTCCAGCTTCTCAACAGGAAGACTGCCCTCATGACAAAGACATTACTTTCATGAACCTTGTGGATGGGAAAGAAATCCTCCAAGGTTAAAGCCAGAAATTACAAAGTAAACATATAAAAAAAAAAATCACAGAATCTTGTTTCTCTGAATTTTTTTATAAACAAGAAAAAGAGCTGGTGATAGGCCACTTCTTTCTAAATCAAAAAAGATTTTTTTTTTTACCTGCCAGGTCTCCTAGGGCAAGGGATACTTGGGAGAACCTGGGCTGACTGGGTACGGAAGACCTGTTGGCCAGTGGTTCTCAGCCTTCCTAACACCATGACCCTTTAATATAGATCCTCATGCTGTGGCGAACCCCAACCAAAAAATCATTTTTGTTGCTACTTCATAACTGTATTTTTGCTACTGTTGTGAACTATAATGTAAATATCTGATATGCAGGAGGTTTTAGGCAAACCCTGTGAAAGGGTCATTTGACCTTAAAGAGGTCTCGACCCCCAGGTTGCCCTGGGCTATTATCTGCATACGAGTCTCCTAAAGTAACTGACTGTTGCTCAGCTCTCCTAACAAGACCATGACTTACGATCAGAGAACTGAACTGTTCCCCATTGGAGTCCGGAGTGATCTGTAACCTTCTGCTTAGTTCCTCCGACAGCTCTTGGGGGCTGGTCCGAGACCCTGGCGAGGCAGGCGGTGGGGGCAGAGCCAGGCTGAGGGAATCTCCTGCCATGTTCATTTCCTCTGAAATGGTCTCCCAAGGCTTTGGAGGAATCAGACGGCAGGGTAAGTGCTAGGAACCTGTCTTCCTCCCAATAATACTTTCCAACACAACATTCATAACCATCAGGATAACTGTAATCAACACTAACTCAGCATGAGGCACAAAACCTTCAGGATAAACACAAGGAAGACGGGACCACTGTCCCAATTAACAGACCAGGGTAAATTTAGCTGAGAGGGCAAATTGCTGACTTAGGCAGTCAATTGAGGGGTGTGCCCAAGTGTGAAGGAGGCGGGCCCAGGGGCCACGACCTCACTCCTTAAGGATACCCACTACCCTTGCAGCAGCTTTTTGTCAGCCTCTGTAATGAATGAATTAGAAATGCCTCAAGAAGTTACAAGCAATTTTCACGTAGAAACCCCCCTTTCTAACTGCTGGGAGGGTTCTTAATGAAAACAGCTTAGATGTTGCAGAAGAACGCTAAGTGAATCCACTGTGGAATCACTAACTTACTGTTTTAACACCGGCCACGTTATGTGAATGATTTCCCAACAAAAGGTCAACCCAATGATCAGAGTCATCAGCATCAAGGTAAGACGATTTGACTGGTTGCTTACTTAATTCATCTCCTTTCCCAGTAATTCCTATTAACTCAAACTTGTACAGTTTTGGGTAATCTCTCCTAAGATGTCAAGTGGTTCATTAGAAACTTGTCTGTGACATCCAAACAAGAGCTCACTTGAGTCCTCAAAAATGACAACTTGAGTGTTGTTTCACGAGACTGGTTAGATCCTGGGGAAAACCAGTCACTAAGCAAAAACATGTAAGACTTTCACACAAGAAAAAATGCTCCCCCCTTGGTATTTATACAAGTCACTGGACCTGGCTTTCACAAGCATTTTCTAAGTTAACTAATACTAAGATGGGAACCAATTAGTTCTGAGGCCATAATCTTCACATTCAATACACAGTTTACCAAGAGGAGAAAACAGGATACAAAATCACCCTGGGCTTGTGGGAAGATGGAGCAGCTTAGCTTGACAGCATCTCTGGACAACATACCTCAGGGCCCTCTCCACCGCCTTCCGAGGCCTCGGGCTCCAAATCTTCACTGATGTGCCTGCGAGAGCGGAAGCGCCGGTGTGCAGCCTCCTGGTTGATCTGCCTGATGTTGTTGTCTGACTCAGAGGACACATCCCTGAAAGGAGGGTGAGGGGGTATGAGAAGAGAAGGGTGCTCAGAGCTGGCCCCCCAACAGTCCAACTGTGGGCCATACACCGACTGAGATGTTGTTAGACACTAACAAGGAGCATGCAACCATCTTCTCACTAGACCACACTGCTGGTTCACTCAAACCCCAGGAAAGCGGCTTCAGTGCACTGTACCAGGAGTTACAGCATCTTTCAGACATAATACAGCTATCCCTTGGCATCCACAGGGAATTGATGGCAGAGCCCTCCCTAGCCCCACAGATTCCCAAATCCCACAAGTTCAGTCCCTAGCAAAGAATGACAACGTTCGTACAGGACGCGTATACAACTTCCCGTATACTTTAAAACATCTCTAGATGATGCATAATGCCTCACACAATGAAAATACTCCACAAACAACTGCTACCATGCACTGTGTAGGTAATGAAGACGAAGACCACTGCTCAGGGTCAGCACAGGCCTAATGCAGTTTCCTGAATAGTTGGGTCTGTGCTCGGCTCAACCCACAGGTGTGGGAGCCATGAGTCCAGAGGGATGGCTGTTCCTCAAACTGCTCATTCGTATCTAAAAAAGAAGAGCAATCCAAGTCCTTCGGTCTGGGATAAGCCAGGAAGTGACAAGCAAGCTCCCACGTGAAGTCTGTCATCAGGTCCCTTCTGGGTCTAGCCAGCAGGGACAAAGCAGCTAATATGGGTCGTCAGTCACTGACTGAAGGTTACCAAAGGCACACATTCAAGGCTGGAGTCCCATGGGGAGGTCTCCTGAACTGCGGGACTTCCTTTTAGCTGCTTTCGGTCTTATTTTGACAAAAACCTCACATCACACTACGGCAACCCTCTTCCCCAACAACCCACCTCTAATAACCAAATGAACACCAGGGGCTGAGCTCCCCAAGAAGCTTGTACTTGAAGAACATGGTGCAGTTGTACCCTGGTTGTTTGTTTTGTCAAATAAGGTTCTTAAGTCAGGATCCGAGTTAAGATCTTATTCTTGAAAACGACTCAATCGACAGCATCTTAAAACTATTTTGCTGTTCATGACGGGTGATGGTCCTTTGGGGAAAACCTCAGCTAGATGATGCTGGAGTGGAAGTCTCAATACCCTCCAGAGGCACCTGTAAACATGCTCAATCCCACTCCACATCTAGTTAGCACAAATTATGTTGCAGGTGAATGTTCCAAAATAATTGAGAATTTTAGCTCAGGTGAATTGAAATAGCAGTATTAATTAACAACCCAACTATAGATTCTTTCTAAAAGAAAGGATTTGAAGTCTCTAGTACTTTCAAACTCACTCATATCCCAAATAAAGAGCCTACTGGACCTCAGAGGAGGAACTAGATTCAATGAACAGCAGTGTAGGAAGAGGACACAGCATCCTAAACAGTCAACTGTTTCTATCAGACATCTTTACACTATTAAGTGTAGGGCTAATGGAGGTATCGTGAAAGTTAGTTGCTATTTAGTCCACATCTAAATTATAATTCTTTATTACTAAAATCTGAATTAAAGGAATTTTATATTTGTATATATAACACCCAAATTTGTTACAATTACAAAATATATTGCTATATTAACTATAACTGGAATAAACTTATACACTAAATAGAGGTATCTTCAGAAAACTGGTGTCATAGATGCAATTATTATAATTAAGGAATACATAAGTATAGTAATTTTGAAATGATTAAAAATGGTACTGTTGGCTGTTAGAAAATACCAGGTTGTACTTGGGATGATATATTTACTGTCATCATTTTTGAAAATGTTCAATTCTCAAGCATGAAATAAATTATAAAACAAAAATGCAAAGTGATTAGAGTACATTTATAAATGATCGCAGCAGAGTAAGAGGTCAAAGGAAGCTACCAAGTACTTGCTTTAATATTTTTTTAAGTTTCTTTTTCCTTTCTTTTCTATTAGGCAGGGTCTCTCTATGTAGCCCTGGCTGGCCTGGAACTCACTAGTTAGACCAGCCTGGCCTTGAACTCACAGAGATCCACCTGCCTCTGTCTCCTGAGTGCTGGGATCAAAGGCGTGCGCCACTGGACCTGCCCCTCTCTTGATATTAAGAATGGACACAGTTATACTTTATGATTACTTTCCTCACTGGAAAACTCTTCACAGCATGTGCGTTTTGTCAAGACTGAAAGCCCTTCTTGAAATTCAACCCACAGTTACTCAGGATGGATTCTGGTGGCTCAACAAACCTGATTCAAACAAGGGTCACAGTGCCTGGATGGACTGTCGCCCTGTCTGCATCTCACTTCCTCTAAAGTATATGAGTGTCGTCTACTAGTGCAGTGTGTGTGTGTGTGTGTGTGTGTGTGTGTGTGTGAAGAATGTTGTATTTAAAATCAGTGATGTCAATTTCCCACACCCAGCACGCTCAGTTCATCAGCAATTGGTGTGAATGGTAACTCTTGATTTTGCAGTTCCAACCAGGGGCTTTGTGACAGTTCATGTTGATTGTCAACTCAAGGCTTTGAGCACACCCCTCTCCCATGTTTCAGGGGACTCACTGAGGGGGAAGGGGCCCCCTGAACGTGGGGGACACCACCCAAGCAGCTGGAGGAACGAAAATGAAAGGAGAAGGAGGCTGGATAGCCCAGGAATGTTCTCTCTGCTTCCTGTCAGCTCTGAAGCCCATGTCCCCACTGTCATGAGAATCTCCTTTGTCTCAGCCCAAAGTAATGGATGGACCCACCCCTCCCTGGCTACGAAACCTTTGAAACCGTGAACCAAAGGAAAACCCTTTCTCCCTAGTCTATCTTAGTTATCTGGTCACAGCAATGATCAAACAGAGTAGCATAGGCTTTTCTCATCTTGCATAACAATATAAAGAATTTGTACAGGGGTGTGTGTGTGTGTGTGTGTGTGTGTGTGTGTGTGTGTGTGTGTGTGTGTGTCTTTCCTCTGAATTTAACTGAGCGAAAGAGCTGTTGACTACCTACAAGTTTCTGCTAGCGCCCACTGGTAACTAGTTACCAGTTATCCTGATAAACTAAGACACAAAGGGAAACCATGTGAGAAATGCCTGTCCTCTTTTTTTTTTTGGGTTTTCGAGACAGGTTTTTGCTGTGTGGCTTTGGAGCCTGTCCTGGAACTCGCTTTGTAGCCCAGGCTGACCTTGAACTCGCAGAGATCTGCCAGGCTCTGCCTTCAGAGTGCTGGGATTAAAGGCGTGCACCACTGCCCGACCATGTCTTTTTCTTCAGTCATTAATTTTGCACACACAGCTTCCCTTTGAACATCATGGAAATGACATGAACAACAAGACCTTCCCACTTTACCAATCCTTCCTTGAAGTCAAGGCCAGCGTCTACTAAGGTTAATGCCTCTGACCATGCCCAGCAGCAAAGCATTTGTTCTGCTTTCATAAATTTTATTCACTACTATTACGTATGCATGTGTGTGACAGTATGGGTGCGTGTGTGTTATGAGATGTGCTACAGCATGTGTGTAGAGGTCAGAGAGCAACTTTGGAAAAAAGTTCTCTCCCTCCACTGTGGGTTCTGGGGATTGAACTCGGGTCCTCGGGCTTGTGAGGCAAAGGCTTTTTACCCCCTGAGCCATCTGGCCCTCCCCTTTGCCTCAATGCATGCGACTGCAATGATGACCCAAACCAGAGAGAGATATGACTGACTGCTAGGACACTGGGAGATGCACTGAGTATTTTATAATCAAAAGCTGAACACAAGCATTCCAGCTTAAGAAGTTACTTATCTTACAAAATGATTTCTTCATTTTTAAAAATTGTCATTTTTATAGTAAAATATAGTTTACATCTATCTAAGTAGGATTAAGAACAAATCTAAAAGGAGGTGTTTTAAAAGCTACCACTGGAATTGAGAAGGTGGGGTGACTTCAAGGGACACCTTCTGTTCCGTAGTTAGGAGCAGAGGTCTGAACTTGGCCCAGACAGTACACCAAACCCCGTGCCTGAAGTCACCTCCTGAAATGGCTCCTTGTCGGGAGGAGCCTGCTCTGTCTCTTGGCTCTTACTTGCTTTTAGGGAAAGGGACGGGATCCACAGGTGCAGGCAACAAGAGAAGGCAAGCAGAACGCTGCTGTGATGAGACTCCTGGGCACACTGCATGTTTAACTGTGGGACGTCTGTCAAGAGACAGGGATGTGGAATTGCCTACAGAGCATCCTAAGTGCAAGGGGAAATTGGGCAAAATGAATCCTGCCAAGTTCAAGGGGTCCAACTTTGGGACATGGGTCTGTAGCAAACTGGGCAAGAATCCGAAATTAGGGTCTAGTTATGTAGTCCAGAAGTTCAGTGCTGGGATTACAAGTCTGTTTCTTCATGTCTGCCCACTGAGGTAGTTAATTCTTCAATTACTTAGAACCGATCACTACCCAATGTCCTCAGATACAACTTCTTAATTAAGATATTTTCTCACAATATAATTTTTTTCTCTAAAGAATGCTGGAACAGTCTATAAAAAATTGAACTATGAAAAAAATTTTTTAACCTAAAAGCAAAAGATAATTCTTCTGGAGGTTCCTAGGGCTTTGGCCAAGTCAAACACGTTAAGGAACAATAATTCCAAATCCTCAAACTGCACAGGGGACAGAGGGGATGCTGTGGAGACTGACTTCTGCCGATCCAACTGTTTTCTTGCTTTTGAGATGTGCGTCACACTTACGTAACTGACACATCTTGATTAACTACACACCTGTGGAACTACCACCGAGTCTCAAAGGTGATGTCATCCCGTGCTGTCTCAGGAATCACCTCATTAGCAATTGTACCCATCTTTCCCCTCAAATAAAGACTTCCATCTGCACGGTACCGATTAATGAAGGTGGGCAATCCCAGCTATGTGCCAGCCATGAACATTTCTTCCTGGTCCTGTGCTGCAGGGGTCGCGTGGCACTCTGATCACCACCCAGCCAGCCCCTTTGGGTGGACTTCTCTCTTGTGTTGTTTAGCTTAAATGGATGGTGCTGTTTTTGCTAACAGTAGGAAACCACGCCCGAGGTAAGTCCTAAGTCATTTCTACCACAAAGAGAGACGGTACTTAGATGGCTTGTCAAATGTCTAAGTGCAGTGATCATTCATGAAAGACAAACAGCAGTAAAATTACAGTATCAACAAAACCACTTATTTTTACGACCCCAACATCGTGATGTGCATCTTGTCTACGCAAAAAGCTAAGGCCACGTTGGGTAATGCAAAGTGGCCGAGAACAGCTGGTAGACCCTACAGAGAAGACCGGGGAGGCCTATCTATTCACTGCTCCAGATCCTCTGCAAGCTTCACCCCTAAACCACATAAAATATCAGCCAGCTGACTTAGCTGCCCTCTCTAGCCACTCCCCCATTTACACGGAGGATACCTTTCTAATTTTTACGGATAAAGGATTTGTAAGAACAGTTTTCAGTATCTCTAAATATCACCTGCCTGAAAAGCATCACTGGGAAATCTCTTTCTACTTGGGTTGAAGAGAACATGATCTCATGAGTAAGTACAATCATTTGCCTTCAGTGCATTTTGATAATCAATTACCTGTAACATCTATTTGGTAATATTAATGCTGCTGTTTCGGCTGCTGGCAAGCTCACAATGTCTAAGGCAACTTCTGCTTTTATTGTGGATACTCTGCCTCTTACTGTGCATCAATAGATTTAGGTTTTGCTACTATGATTTAACAAAAAGCTACCTCAAAATCTTTTTGTAAAAACAGCAATTGAGCTTTAACTAGGATTTATTTATTTGCTATCATTGGAACAAACACTACTAAGGGAGCAGGCACCAACTGCCTTGTTCTCTCCCTAAGCTAGTACAGTGCTGAGATAAACAGTAATTACTAATTTTGACTTTGCAAATCTTCTTTGCATTTCTAAATATACCAAGGCAGTCATACATACATTTTCTGAAAAGTGAATAAAATAAAAATAAAAGAAGGCTTTATGACTTTCTAAATCAAATAATGTCAAAGAGTAAGAATACAAAAACATTAAAGAAAATGGCAAAGCCAATCTGCCTCCTGTTTTCCACCCTGGGCCAGTCAGGAGAGGAGGCTGGAAGAAGGGGGAAGCAAAGCAGAATCTAGGAAGAGCACATCTCAGTAATCCTAAAAGAGGCACAGAAGAGTAACTCCACTCACACAGCCAAAGGCAATGTGGCACAGGCCATCAGCCTCTTCCTGCAGACACTCATGCATGCATGCATGTATACATGCACACACTCACTCACTAGTTCCCCAACCTGTCCTGGAATTGCCACCCTCCGCTGTGCGGGGTGTGCCAGGGCATCCCTGCCATCCGGTGGTACTTACATCAAGCTGGGCCGGTGCCACTGCGTACTCCTGTTGTTGTGATTGACATAGTAAGTGCGGCCTAAATTGTCCACTTTCTCTTCCCATCCTGGTGGCAGGGGAGGCGGAGGGAGCTCCTCCTGGTGCTGGGAAGCTGAGTCGTTTGAGTCAACAACTTCCCATCCGTGCTGTGGAGGAAAGTTAGTGGGAGGTCATGAGTCTGGGCTCCAGATCACAGGAGCAGACAATCCCAGTGTGACGTCCCTCTGCCTTACTCTGCTGCACTCTGGGTCTTGTAATGACTTCCTGAGTCACACGGAGATAGAGTCGCCCTCCAAGGGAGAAAAACCAATTCAAGGTCTCAAAACTCATCTGAGCAATGGCCAGTTAATCATGCCAGTTTCTAAGATGACCACCAGGTTTGGAGACTTCATTTACTTTCATGTTTTAAAACATTCATTTGAGTGTGGATGTTTATATATAAATTCACGTGTGAATACACGGCACAGGTGTACAGGCCAGAGGACAACTTGCACGTCTCAGGCCTTTCCTTCTACCATGTGAGTTCCACGGATCAAACCAGATTTGACTGAAGGCGCACCAGCCTGCCGCACCACCGCGCCTGCCCTGTTTAGTGTCTAAGTCCCATCATTGAGTTTTACATTTCCAGTAGTTATTAGGGCTGCACAAAGCCAGGGACATGGGACAAGCCCAAGCTGTCACAGCTGTCACCCTTTCAACACCATCATGAAGTGTGCATTGTGTGCTCGAAAAGAAAGCATGGCACAGGTTACAGGTGTAGGGACAGGGTTATCGGTCCCCAGTGAGGATGGCCCGGGGTTGGTGTGCCTAGTATCTGCTACAGTTGTGAGCCAGGCATTGTCTAGAAACTGCTGCTGTTGCTTAGGCACTGCCCAAACAGACCGCGTGGTGCCAGGATCAGAGCTGCGCTGTTGCGCCACATACCTTCGGCATTAAACATCGCTTTCCTAACATCCCCTGGTAAAGCCAGCGGAAAATCAACCGATTCACTGGTTACTGCAGTTGGAAGACGAGAAGAGGGTACAAAATTCCTTGGATTTCACACAGCAAGCTGTTGCTTTGCTTGGGAAATCTCAAAGTCCACTCTGGCCTGCCGCCCACTTTAGTCCCTGTCAGGGGGTGGTAGCTATGGAAGCCTATGGGGAAACGCTGCCTGGAAATGTGGCCTCTTGGTTGGAGGGGGTTTGGTCGACTTGCCCACTGCGTTATCATTCAAGGAACACACATGTGGGACAGCTGCAAACAGGTTGTGAAAACAGCCAGGGAAGCCTTGTTCAATGGGAGCCTTCAGAATAATGTAAGAATTGAGCTAACAGAACAGTGCTGTCTACAGCGTGTGCCGAGATAGTACAATGAGACCCATAGTACAGACATGTGACCAGAAAGTGAAGAGGCAACTATGCCCGGAAGAGGACAGAGTGGAATGCTCTTCTGGATAACTAATGGCAAAATGGCAGTTCCCAGGGATGGCTCTGCAAGACAGACGGTCACCTGTGGACCAAATGAACCAGAAATGGGGAGAGAGTTTCTAAGTCAACCCCCATCCCCTCTGGAGCAAGTTCAAGTGCTAAAAGGAACCTAAAAAGAATTGAAAGTCCAGATTAACACTGAGATTTTTTTTTTTTCTGGCAGTGGGAATGTCTAGAGTAGATGTCTTGCACTGTTCTGAAATGTCCTCCTTAGGCTCATGCATTTGTCACTTGGTTCTCAGCTGGTGACAGCACTTGGAAAAGCTGTGGAACCTTTAGAAGGTGGAGTCTTGCTGAAGGAAGGGGGTCACTGAGGCGGGGGGGGGGGGGCTTGTGGAATTACAGCAGAACCCTGTTTTCTGTCTCCGGACTATGATACACTCTGACCAGGTGCTTCACATGCCCACTTCCACGACCTTCCCACTTCCACGGCCTCCCCGCCACGATGCACTTCGCTGGCTTGAAATGTGAGCCTTTCTTCCTCCAGTGGCCCTGGCTGGGTGTTCTAACAGCAGCCAGACAGGAAGCCAATACACCTGTGCAAAGAGCTGCTCTTCCTAGTGTTAGTGTGGTGACCGAAAATGGGAACTTCACTTCGGCTCAAACGATCACGTACTGGAGGACTTTCAAAGACAAACCCAGGGGGTATTCGGACGCGCACCTGTAGTGAAGTTCACAAACATTCACTTCCTTCAATGACAGAGTGTAACACGAGTGAGATGGGCAGCCAGGAAAGAGGCCAGGGCCCGCAGCTGTCTCTCATACCTCCATGTCGTCTCTCTGCTCGCTGTTCTCTTCATCCTGACCCCCGTTTTTCGGCATGTAGGCCATTTTCAACCGCAAGAACCCCTTGACTCGCGATTTATGACTGTACACAGGAAGAAAACCAGTTACAGAGGGCCCGGCTTGTTTCCAGCCTTCTTGTTTAAGGTGTTTGCTGAAACGGTCTTCGGAGAAACCAGCACTGCAAACACTCACCCCCACACCCACCCACCAGCCTCACCTTCTTGGTCGCAGGAGAAAGTCCTTAAACGTATAAGGTCTCTCCATGGTTGGATCTTCTGTCTAGAGGAAGAAAAAATAAATTAGCAAGGAAGCAATACTCATAAAAATTTCCCATTTTTGACACACTCATCAGGAATATGGAGGATATATTTTTAGGATGTGCCAAGGGTAAAAAAAAAAAAAAGGAGCTGGCCCCTCAACAGGTACTTAGATGATTAATTAAACATCTACAAGGCCCACGGAGGCTCGTCTACTCAAGATCCACCAGATGTCACTCTCTCCATCAGGCTCTAGTAGTCAAGCCCAGCCAGAGACAAATGACAAAATTATAGCCACCACTGCGCCAAGTGTAATTTTCTAACAGCAGGGTTAATCTCCCTCAATCTCCCAGAGTCGATTAACTTTGGAAAACCAGCGGTCACTGGTGTCCCATTATCCCATGACTCAAGACACCTAAACACAGAGTTAAACAGAAAGCCTAACCTCGGAATGCAACTTCATTTGTCACATTAAAGTATCAAGTCATCAGCCTAAAAGGACTGATAAGGTATCTTCCGTGCAAAGCATCCAGGGAGCCTCTACCCCCACCCGGCTTATCTCCTGACTTGGTGAGCCAAGCTGGGATGTGCTCCTCAGTTTGTCAACTCGACACAAACTAAAGTCACCAGGAAGGAGGAAACCCCAACTAAGGAATCACCTCTGTCGGATCAGCTTTGCGGCATGTCTGACAAAAATATTTCTTCGGTTAATGATTGCTGTGGGAGGGCCCAGGCCACTGTGAGAAGTGCTACCTACCCCTGGGCTGGTGGTCCTGGGTTATACAGAAAAGCCAGTTTAGAAGCTTCCTCCAGGGGCTCTGCCTTCAGTTCCTGCCCTGGCTTCCCTCCACGATAAACCTTTCCCTCTCCAAGTTGTTTTTGGTCATGCTGTTTGTCATAGCAACAGAAAGACTACCAAGGGCACAGGATGGGATTCATTTTATTGTGCCAAGTTGGTTGACTAATAAAGCAGGACAGTGGGAAAATTTGTGCCATCATGTTTTAAGTGTTATATGTAGTCAAACCTGAAATACTCAACTTGTCAAATTAAATGCATTCCAAAATATCTGCTTTTCTAGGAAGAGGGGCAAATCACAATACAATGATGTATTATGTAGAGAAAGAAGAGAGAGAATACGTGTTTACATTACAAAGATGATCTGTTTATAGCCTTCCTTTCTAATGGCTTCCTACTCTCTTATCCCCCCTCTATGTGTGTGTGTATGTATGTATCATTTGTGTGTTTCTGTGTGCGGGCCAAAGGACAAGCTGGGGCGCCGTTCACCTTTTTTTCTCTCTCACTAGCCTGATACTCACTGATTAGGATTCATTGATTAGGATAGTGTGACTGATCAGAAAACCCAGGGAGTCTTCCTGTCTCTGCTTCCTCGGCGCTGGGATTGTAAGACATCCCACAATGCCTTTTTATTTATTGGCTTTACATTTTATCCTCATACACTGTATTTCGATCATATTCTTTCCTGCCCCTCCAACTCCTCCCAGATTCTCTCCACTTCCTTCCCCCCCCAACTTCATGTTCTGTCTCTCTTAACCCCCCAAATCAAAACAAACAAACAAACAAACAAACAAAACCCTCAAACACAAAAAATACCAAAGTAAACCAAACCAAACCAAAAAAAGCACGCCAAAGCCAAGGAGTCTGTTTGTGCTGGCCAGCTACTCTTGAGCGTGGGGCCTGCTCTGGCGTACGGTTGATAGGCCCGGGACACTCCATTGGAGGAAACTGATTTTCCCTCTCCCAGCAGGTCAACTGCAAACAGCTTCTTGGTTGGGGTGGGACTTTGTGTCCACTTCCCCTTCTCTGTGCTGGGAATTTTTTTTTTTTTTTCCTGGCGTGAACTTGTGCAGGCCCTGTGCATATTGTCACCCTGTGAGTTCATATGTGCATCAGTCCTGTTGGGTCTGGAAGACACTGTTTTCACGTGCGTTCTAGGGGCTGAACTCAGGTGATTCTGTTTGCACTTTACCTCCTGAGACGTCTCTTCAGCAATCCGCCCTGTTCTTACCACAAGGAAACGAAAATATCGGCCACGTGACCAGGCTTTACACCTTAACCTCACTGGGAATAGTTTCCCCGACAACGGTTCATCCTCCAAGCCTTCGCCATCTCATGAACAGATCATTTCTAATTCTGACACAGAGCCCATGCACTAACTGGTCTTGCCCGACAGGCAACTCTGGATGGCTCTACTGATGTCGTCCTGCCTTCAGAGAGCCCATCTTCAGCTCGCCTATATCATCACCCTGTGTCACAGCCCTCTGCCAGCCTATTCCTTATCACTATCTAAAGCTTGAACTTCCTCACCACTCACTGCTGGGGTCAAGAACGGAAGTGTGTGTGCAAGCAGTTATTCGCTTGGTCTGTAAAAAGAGAGCCCTAAAAGTCTCTTAGATCGTTCTAAGGAAGGTAACGTGTCAAACTTACTGACATTTGGGGAATATTTTCTATGTAAAATTTTTCAGTACATATCACTTACAATGCACAACTTGGCAATCAGGAATATTATCGCTGGGGCCAGTGACACGGTCTAACAAGCCAACGTGCTTGCTGTCAAGCCTGAAGACCTTAGTTAGATCCCAGGAACCCACTTGATGGACGTGGAGACCCACCTCTCAAAACTTGTTCTCTGACACACACACACACACACACACACACACACACACACACACACGCTCAAAGCTATTGAAAAAGAATACTAATGCTGACAAGTCTTCCTTGTTTCATTTATTTGATAAACAATTAATTTGAGTCAATCTCAAGGAAAAGGCATGTGACATCCAGAGTGCCTACCCTGAGGGTTGTAACTATATGGGAGGGGTTGCCACAGCAACAATATACTAGACTCTAGGGGGGAACAAATTCGGTAGGGTAGGGAAAAGACTAATGGCCCGCAGGGCTGACAGTGGGCATTAGTGAGGATCTCAAGAGCAGCAGAGGGCTCTGAGCATCCATCTGTCCACACACCAAGGAACAGAACTGACCAGCACCTCACAGAGCAAGAGGCAGACCCCAGGTCTGTGTCCTGTTTTTACTACTGTACAGAGCTGGGTGGTCCTTATCTCTTTGGGCCCTGGCGTCCTTGTCTATAGAATGGGACAGTAATGAGGGCTCCCTGTACTGTTGTGAGGTCTAAATCAGCCAGCTGAAGGTGGTTTACATACAGTCCTCAGCAGGTGCCAGGCACACACTTGGCCACTGCCACCACCATCCAGTCTTACCTTTCACATCATGGGGGTGTTGCCAAAGCAACACTTTGCAAGGAAAGGCAGGTGCAAAATACACTTGATGGGAAAAAGAATACTCCTCTAACCGAGTACTTCTCAGCCTGTGGGTTGCAACCCCTTTGGGGGGTATCAAGTGACCCTTTCACAGGGGTTGCCGAAGACCATTGGAAAACACAGATATTTTTATTATGATTCATAACAGTAGCAAAACCACCGTTATGAAGCAGCAATGAAAAGAGTTTTATGGTGGGGGGGTCACCACAACAACACGAGGAACTATATTGAAGGGTCGCAGCATTAGAAAGGTTGAGGACCATTGCTCTAACATAACTGTTCATCTTACAGATAAGACCATGTTCCTCAGAGAGAAGGCAGTGGTGAATCCCAGAACAGAGAACACACAACACACAAGAACAAATGAAGGGGGCCCAGGTGCAATACCTGATTGAAACATCTACTCCCAGGCCCCAGGCTCCTCCTGTGCCCCACACTGTGGACCACAGTGCAGGCACACCTCAGTACTGGGGAACCAGGAGCAGGCCCAGCAATGTCACTTGATGGAAAAAAATCACTTCCTATCTGGGCCCAGGTTTCCTCACCTAGAAAATGCCCCTAGGAGTGGACAGTCATGACCTGGGCACAGCTGAGAAAGTGTCACTCTCCCCACCACCAGCTGTGACCATAAGAATGTCTACCACTGAGATGACCTTAGAGGCCACCTCAGAGGCCACCTCACCAGCCCGGATATGCTCTGTTCTAGGAAAACAGTCAGCCCAGGCTGCCCAAAGACAACCTTGGCCAAGATGGAGACGCATGTCCGCAACAGCTTCTCTCTGCCTCCTGCAATGAGTGCCCAAGGGTGCAGAGAATCGGAAACTGGCAGCAATAGGGAGCATTAGGGGATGTGGGGGTGACGGGGAGGCACAGAACAAGGAGGAAGCAGGAGGAGGAGGTTCAAGGGTGCAAGAGGAAAACACCTGTCAGAACTTCATTCTGTTGTCAGAGCACGCCTTGGAGTTATTTTTATCCTTCATCAGAAGGTGCAGAATACACTTTCAACAACGATGCACTGGATGCTGCAAACAGGCTCGCAAACGTAAGTTTAAAACAATCAGCAATTATGTGTAGCCATAGCTGAGGCTGTTCCCGGGGGCCCTGGGAAGACAGCAGGAACCCCACTGAAAGGGCAGCACTGGTGTGAGCAGCTGGTTGGCGACAGGACTGTCCTCATTTACAGCCTCTCATCTCCTCTGCAGGCCTGGGTCCTGCTGCCAGTGTCTCCTAGGTAACGAGTGTGTCACCAAGGACACTGAGCCTCCGCTCAGGGAACACTGGAACTGCCCTGATGCTCTGTCACAGAGCGAGGTGGCAACCTGGTCTTGTCTCTGAGGGCACCCTCCCTCTTGTAGGAAAATGGGAGCCCGGAAAGGACCCTAGACAACTCATCCATCTTCAGATGGAAGTCGACCCCCCTCCCCCAGGCAGATTGCCATCTTTTAAAGCCTGTCCTTTGGCAATGTCTTAGAGCATGATCGTGTTACCTCAGCTCTGTCCTACATAAAGGTTCACTCACCCCATTTACTCTGTGCCTCAGTCCTTTCCTCAAAGCGCAAAGAAGTAGAAAATACATACTGAAGATAAACAGTCAGCAATCAGAGAAAAGGAAGCGGATGTCCCCGATGCCCCACACAACTTAAACCTCAGTTCCTGTCCATTCCCGGGCCCCACACAAGTAAAACTGGGAGAAGTGTGCACACAGCCAGGATTCGAAGGGAA